TCGTTATGCAAAACACTTCAATTAGTCGACTACAGACAATTACCCGAGCATTACACATCAGAGATCTGACGGCTCAATCTAATTCACTTTCCACATAAAAAGTGCAAAACGCGAAAGAAGTTTTCGCTAAAAAATAAATAAACAAAAAAAAGTTTGTTTATTCAAAAAATAATATTTAATAAAAAAATAATAAAATAAATAAATTAAAGAAAAATAAAAACTTACAAGAAACCCTTATGAAATTCTTTTTATTTATTTTTTTTAATTCTCTTGGTGTTTTTTCCTAACGTTTAACAATATTTGCAAATATCCAGAACTTAATCAAACATCAATTAAAAGTTAAAAACTATAGCATCATTTAAATTAGATCATACTTTATTGTAGTTTGAATAAAACATAAAGACGATAGCTAAATTGTAACGATATGGTACTTATTGATCAATAACTTTTTTTACTATAACTCTACAGTCTAAAAATTATACAGTCCGATGTTTTCAATAATTACGGTGGCTGCGGTGAAAAATCTGTCAATGCGTGTTGTCAAATCTACGAAGTTAGTAATAAAACATAATAACTAATCAATAAAAAAAAATTGCAACGTAAACTAAGATTTTTTATATACAATAAATATTTAATCATAATCAATACTTGAATTGATTGAATTGTTATTCAAATAAACACAATGGAAGCATAAGCAGCTGTGAGAGGGAGAATGAGTGGTGGTATATAAGCGGTCAACACCGTGACAAAGCTAATTCGAATCCCAACACTGAGCCATTCATCATGTATAAAGTACTCACAAACTATAAGCTATATTATAATATACTAACTTAAAATTAATTAAGTATATTCTATAACAATTTTATGTTTTTCAGATTGCATTATTCATAACTTTATTGGGAACAGCTCTTGCCCAATACGGACATTATGAGCATCATGGTCATCACGAAGAACACCATGGTCATCACGAAGAACACCATGACCATCACGAAGAACACTATGATCACCACGAAGAACACCATGAACACCACGAAGAACACCATGGTCATCATGAAAAACATGAAGAACATCATGAAAAACACCATGAACATAAAAAACACGAGGAGCACGTCGTTGATTACTATGTAATATTTTTTTTTCCATTTATTATTATATAAACAATTAAATTGAGGAATGCACCGAATTTAAGATTTATTTTTTTCTAGGCTCATCCAAAGTACAAGTTCGATTACTCTGTTCATGACCCCCACACCCACGACGTCAAGAAACACGAAGAAAGCAGAGATGGTGACGTGGTCAAGGGCTTCTACTCCCTCCACGAACCCGATGGTACCGAGAGGATCGTCCACTACACCGCAGACAAGAAGAACGGTTTCAACGCCGTCGTAGAGAGGAAAGGACACGCAGTACATCCTCATGTGAAAGGATCTACTGAGTCTTTCTTCAAACATCATCACGAACATCATGAAAAAAAAGAGCATCACGATCACCATGAACACAATAGCCACCACGAACACCACGAAAAGAAGCATGAAGAACATCATGACCATCACCACGGGCATTCATTGTCCTCTTATTCAGGGCATCACCATTACTAGTCATATTAATTATTAGTCAATAAGTTTTTTACTTTTATAAAAAAATAAATAATTAAAAATTTAATTGTTTTTATCTCATTTGACTAAATTTCATAAAACTCCTACTGTGAAACTCCCCTATTCTTAAAAATCATCATTATTTCACTTGTGATGATTTTCCACATATAAGAAAAAAATTAATAATAGTAATAAATAACCAAAGTTTGATTTTAATTCTAGTGAATAACCTAAAAAATATTTTTTTTAATGGCAATTAACAAAATATGTGTTAAGGACTGATAAAATAAAACCATAACGCTAATAAGTGATTCGATAGAATAATTATTAAATAGACTTTAAAAATGAAAAGAAATTATATAATAATAATCAAGACTATAACTTTTACTCAAAAGAAAATAATTATATGTTTACATTTTACTTTGGTATGATTTAATAATATATATTAATAATAATAAAGCAAAGTTTAAAATTATAATTAATGTATTATATCCAGTAGAGAATTTATAATATTTCCTAGTTACGATTTATAAAATGTTTTGGGCTTTACGATCACCAGTGCCATTTTCGCTAGTTACAATTTACAAAAAAAAAAAAAAAAAAAAAATACAAACAAAAAACGATGTGCACTTAAAACGTAGTAAGGCAAATGATCATGAAAACATAGCAAAACAAAAAAAATCAAATCCAGACATAGTCCATGAACATACACGAACTTACAATAAACGATTTAATAATAACCGCAATGGATACTCTAACCAACTAATTAAAGGAATGACCACAACTCTAATGTCGGAGAATACTAGAACAACAGAAAATTGTCTCAATGAAATGATCTCATTAGATAATTTTGAAAGAAAATATAAGTTTTGAAAGGGTATATGTATATTTAAAGTGATGTTGAGCATTAATAAACCCATATTTATTTTTATAGATCTGAACAAAAGGTAATATGATATTTTTCGCCGTCAGAAACCTTTCATTGGTTTAAATTTTAATTCTTAACATCCCATCTATATTTTGTCATTGTCGTTTAATTTAATTTATTGTGACTTTATAATGTCTTTTAAATTTAAATTTTATTGTGGATCTTATATGCCAGCAACCTCTATTAATTATTATAGAAAACTCATCTTATGAAAAGATTAATTTAATAACGATAATACATTTCCATACATAATTTAACCACAAAAAGAAATTACATATGCAAGATATTTTTGTTTGAACTCATACTTGTTCTCTTTTAAAACTTAAAGATAATACCGTGATGCTAAATAATAAAAATAAGATTACTCAACTTTAACACTTCTGAGAAGATTGTATTTTTCATATTAATATCAGAGAATTGCATAATATAATAATTTCAAATTCATACACAGTAATCTCATTTTAAAGTAAGTGCTAATTTGACGATCAATTTTAGGTCTCATAGCTGAGTGAAGAAACGGAAGAAGCTTGAGATAATAATGTGATTTCTTTCTTGTAACTATTACAGAATGAGGAATTACAAAATAAAAACTAAAATAAATTTCTCGAAACTTATACTATTAGGTTTATAACTTACAAACTTAAACAGAAAATATATTGTTCAACAAGTCTATCGGCCAAAAAAATATTGTTTATTAATTATCCAAATTAAAACTTATCAAACAATTATCTTTAAAATAATGTTAACCACTTTGTTTTATTTTTTTATAAGCCCACATTACACCGATGTTTTCACTTCCAATCCCTACTACCACGTTTTGGCTCTCCGAGCCATTTTCAAATCTAAAAACGATTTTCAATTTTTTTATTTTTTAATGAAATTTAAAATTATATTACATGAAAAATACAACATGTAAATGTGACGATGGTAGCATGACATAAAGAGAAATTACCCATTTCTTCTATACAGAACTCAAATTAAAGTTTCTGTATAGAAGATCCCGAGGCCATCTTCTTTTCAGACCCCTCGGAGGGTTATCAGAAATAAAAGAGGAAGCAAGATTGGAAGCAAGAGGGTTCGGATGGTTCAGAAGTTTATTATGGAAGGATATGTATCTAGACTGGGCTAAAATGGAAATTTACAGTACGTTAAGGGCGTTATGGATGATTTGATTTGTGACAAAGTAAGAGGCATTGAGAATTTTATGAAGGGTTTTGGATTGTAAGGATTGGATACGAGAAAAATTCGATGGTTTAGTAAAGCCCCAAAGCTCGATTCCGCAAGTCCAAATATGCCTTTTTATAGTCACAAATATAAGTCTTTCGTAAGTAATTGGAAGTTTAGAACGTTTGTGTAATAAGTGCTGGAGTAGTCGAAAACGTCCAGCGGTTTCTTGACGATTCAGTCTGGTATGAGGATTCCGAGTGAGTCGTTTGTCCAGGTGGAGTTCTAGGTATCGGATTTGTTTATCAAAGATAATTGGGGAATAGTTAAAGGAAATAGTAGGGCTGAAATAATTTTCAATTTAAATCCATTTTTAACATTATTTTGTTAACTTGTTGTTAACTGTATAATTATTCTTATAATCATATAAATATTTTTTAGAAACTAACATATTTTGAAATATAATTTTTTTTTATAATTACCTATCAGGTTCTTGTCCATTACATTTCTTAAGTAAAATACATGTCTTTTCTTATACTATCAGTTTTTAGACTTGAAGATGGTCTGACGAGCTGAAACGTCGTAGTAGAGTTTGGAAGTAACACATTGGTGTAATGTTTGCATAGAATTTTAATTTATTTATTTAGAAATATAATAATCTGTCACGTGGACAATAATTATACCGAGATATTAACATATTCACAGCATATATACAGTAAACAAAATTAACAAAAGTAAAATAATAACTAAATAATAATCAAACAACTATGTACAATAAAAAGTAAAATAACCTAAAGATAAGTTAATTAAAAAATATAAAAACTCTAATCTTCACTGGATTTAGCACCGGCGATACGGTTGAGAGAGTAGCGCAGGGATCTCTTGGAGTCCTGATTTTACCTCTATAGTTGGAGGGACAAGCCTGACCTGGGGTTCCCTACTTGATTGTATATAAAACATTAAAACTGAAATATTATACGATACCCAAATAAGAGAAAAGAATATAGAGAATGTTACCCTTTTAGCTTTAATTTTTATTCTGTGGGTAATTATATTACATTACAAGAATTGAACAAGTTTGGGCCATAAGATTCGATTATTCGATTAGATTAAAAAATAAAAGCTTTAGATGTGTTAGCAGTTTTTTTGAAAATTCTTTGTTTCTGAATTAGAACCCAACAAAATATCCAAGTTCCAGAGCCATGGCCATATACAGAGGGACCATACATCAGTTTTTCCGTTAAAAATGGTCAAATTATTCTATTCCGACAAAAACAAACAAACACTTGAATAGAATGCGGAGGTCCCGAGGGATGTTAAAGGGACAAGTTATCCTTGGATGCGGGCAGAGCTCTGCCAACCTGGTTAGCTCAGCCCGTGAACTTGATCTTTACATCGCTCCTTCCTCTTTCAATGAGATCCAGTTCCTTTCTGTTTATGAATGGGATCCGAGTTCATTCAACTGTTTTCCCGTCGTTAAGCTTATCAACAATTTCAAACTAATTTTTTTATCAAATCATATTATAGCAGTAGGTTGAACGCAACAGTTATGGACAAGGGGCCCAGTAATGGACGGGTTGGAATTTAAATGTAAATAATAAAATTCATAAAGGTTCCATTTTTTCTAGATTAAAGAACAATGCCCTCTATTGACAACTGTATGAGCAAAGTTCACAAAAGTAAATTTTAAAATGCCTATCATTATTGTTTCTATAGTGCTCTTGAGATCAGTGTGTTTCATACCATACCAGCAACAGTTTTGCTTAGAGTAGGTTAAACATTTATGTTATCTAATCTTCATCGTTATCTTTATAGTTAAATAAAAATTTAGAATTTTTCTGAGGTATGTCTATTATTAGAATAATTGGAGTTCGGAGTGTTCATTACTACTGCAAAAGTTTTTTTTTTTTTTTATTTTATTTTAAATGAAGATTATGTCTGCATAACTGAATATTTTTCAATTTATTTCAGTTATAAAAGTGTTAATAATAAAATGAGACCCTAAATATTAGTGTTGCCCAAATGCGAGCCGAGATGAGTTTTGGTCTTGATTTTGCGAGTCTCTCAACAGTCTTGCAGTTACTTATTAGCTTATTGCTATAAAGATATTACTGTAAATTTTTAGATAGGAGAAACCTAACTAAGCCCGAATGAAAAATTAGAAGAGTTAAATGCAAAAGTATATTGGTTATACCAATTATTAATATATAGTAACTAATATTGTCAAATATTAGTAAATATTTTGTCTTAATTTTTATTTAAAAAATCGTTTTTTTTACCAGTTCTGGTCTTGGTCTTGTAACAGTTAAGAGTGCAAGACCAAGACCGATTTTGAGCAACACTACTATAGATTCTATACGTCCAACGGAGAAATTTATAACTATAATAATTACGGCGGCATATGCCAAAAATGGCAACAATTTTCTTAGCTATCTATGCCCATCATTAGTGCGCTTACGCCAAGGAAAGTTATATTAGTTATATAATAACAAACGTATATGCTATATACTTTACATAACAGCTATATTCAGGTAAAGCTAATAAATATGATTAGAAAGAATGAATTTCGAATAACTAATTAAATAAAATACTGTTAAAATATTAAAATATATTAAAATACTCTAAATCCCATGCAGAGTATTGGATCCTTATTGCAAGAGAGAACTGTTTCAAGGCCAACGGTAGTGTTGAGAGGTTATTAGGGCAGGATCACTCTCAAACACCAGGGTTTTTTTCTTAATTAATTATATAATTAAGAGTACCCACTTTATAGCGGCTGGGAGTACCACAGGAAAGTCTAACGACCCCAGGATAGATCCACGGCTGATTTAATAGAATCAACAATTATCTGTCTCAACAGGTCTCGAACGCAGTATCTTGAGCATTGAAGGTCAATGCCTTACTTGATTAGCTACCGCGCCCCCTAATAACTAATCATACATATGACTACTGTTCATTCAAATAATATAAAGAATTCTTAATAACTTCAGAGGTACTGGAGCTAATCATGAAAAATGGCGCTGAGCTATTGCATTCCTGAACGATGATAGATGTTAAGAATTAGTAATTTCTATAAAACATGGGTTATGTGAAAACATTTGAGCTAGATGGATTATTAAATAAATTGCTGAACACAAAAGTTGGGAACATAAGAAAAGCTGTAAACATTTTATATAAAATATATTTATGTTTTTTATTGATAAAATTTACAACTTTATTTCAATAAAAATAAATCTAGTAGATGAGACACAGAGAAATGTAATGACATGAAAAGACTTGTAGAGAAACTACTAATTGGTAGCACTCTAATATATAAAATAAACAAATATATTTTTAAATGTTGCGATATTTCTTGTTTATATACCGTTATTATTTTGATGTATATTATTCATGGAACGTATAATAAAAAAATAAATAAATTAAATTTACGATGAAATAAAATTTTTATGTTATGCTATAATCCTACATATATAGAAATTTAAAGATTATTCTTTAAAAAAAGATAATTATGAGAGAACCTATGTGAAAGTTACATAAAGAAAAATATTCCTTAATTTCACTCAACGAATGCAGATTTAGGAAAATTCATTCTTTATAAGGTTCTTTCCTTATAAGGTTCATATGTTCACAGATATTTCAGATGGTATAATCTGTCGTGAACTAGATAATGTTTAATCATGGTGGGGGGAGGGGGTGAAAGTTCATTATGTCGTACAATTATTTCATAATCCACTTGTCATGTGAGGAAGTGGGTACATTCACGTAGTCTTTAAATATATTTTAACACCTGCACAAGCGATCTAATAAGGAAATAGAAAGCGAGCAATTACCAATTCATAAGTAGTAATTAAGTTTCAATTGTCAGATGTTATAAAAAATAATAATGACAGTAATGCTATTATTCAATCATTATTGTCTGTATAAGTATATTGTATTATGGTAACATTTTCCGGCTCTTTAGGAATGATGAATTTAGACAAAGGAATTATCAAATGAATTGGGCATTTCATGGAGAGGTGAACGATTTTGATCCTTAAATTCTTAATACGAATATAAAAATCTGGTACGATGTGCAACACACCACTTTCACTTACTACCCTAATTTGAATAGAAATAGAAAAGATAAAAATTGTAGTTGGTTCAATATACTAATCTCAAACAATTAATTATCACCAAATTTTTCCAAGGTTCTCATCCATTGAGTTTATACATTTTTCAACAATGTCTGAGATGTTACAGACACTTTTTTTCATCAAAATTGGCTAATTGGAAGTACCTCTTTATACTATTGATTTCAAAACTTTTTGCAATATTCTCAAAACTCCCTCTAAGGATTTTAATTCAATTTATTATCAGTGTAAAATTGAGCAGTTTTTAAGTTAAAGTAGGATTTATTCTCATTGATATGCTGTAAGAAGCTTAAATGCCTGATTTTCTTATTTCTTCCTCTGAAGCAATAACTGCTGATGCTATCTTGATTTGATTACTTGGTCTTATTTTGAGAATTAATATACCGTAAATACATTATTTCCAGAAGTTTTTCAAACCATATTTTTTTAAATATATTATATATATTAGTATTATTGCGTATTTTATTTTCGGATTTCCATCTTTCATGTCGATATATGTTTTCTATTCATTTGAAATAATTAATCATTTGATTATTTTATTAACTTGCTATTAAAAATGCTTACAATGAAAGAGAAATAAATTTATCGCCTTCATTTATCACTCGCATACTTGTCGGACTAAGAATAACATGTGGTAGTGTTATAATTAAATTAGCAATAAAAAGAGTATCCAATGGACAGTGTTGAAAAATGTATAAACTCAATGAATGAGACGCTTGGAAAAATTTGGTGATAATTAATTGTTTGAAATTAGTATATTGAACCAAATAGAATTTTTATTTTCTCCTATTTTCTATTCAAATTAGGGTAGTAAGTGAAAGTGGTGTGTTACACATCGCACCAGATTTTTATACTCGTATTAAGAATTTAAGGATCAAATTCGTTCACCTCTACATGAAATTCCCAATTAATTTGATAATTCCTATGTGTAAATTCATCATGAAAATGTTCCATAGGGATGGTAAAAAAGAGCAGTAGACTGTTCCCTCAGGAACTTACTCCTCTGCAATCAGCTAAGAGGTTAGAAATTTGTTAACATTTAATGAAAAACCATTCTGATATGAGATTTTAACGGAAGATTGTCACCTGTGATGAAAAGCTGGTTTAATATCGAAATCAGAATAGCCGTGAGCAATGGCTAAATCGCTCTCAAACAGCTTTTTACGTTGCTGCAAGGGCTGAATTTGAAAAAAAATCCATGCTTTGTGTATTTTTGGAACTTTGGAGGTGTTATTCATCACAAATTTGTTCCTGATGGATGTTTTATGAGTTCTGAGCTCTACTGCAAACAACTGGAAAGATTGTACACGAAGGTGTCAGAGCGTTATCTTGCTTTGATCAACCGAAAAGGAATTTTAATCGAACAAGTAATGCTCGTCCTCACACTTCCCGTTGAACCAAATAAAAGTTTAAAGAACTTCATGGTCTCGAACTTCTGCCTCATGGGAACTTATGACCCATTTTCTTCAAGGGAAAAAATTGATAATTTTACGAAAGTTGAAATTGCGGTCCAAGGGTTCTTTGACAGCCATACCAAAGAATGGTATCAGCGTGGGATCGAGCAATCGGCTAGCAGATAACAATGGACTATACTTTGAGTTTTAATTGTATTTTATATTATAGAAATAATACTCCAAATATTTGGTAGGAAAACGGTAATTTTTTTTAATACACCCTATTATATATCTGAAAAATAGCTAATATATGTAACCTCAAAGATGCAAATTACTAAGGAACAACTAATTATTTACAAATCGTAAAGGGCATTAATGATATTCCAAAAAATGTCTGAACTTTAATATCACGGATTTTATTGAAATTAGATAAAGATTTATTACTATAAACTTTTGATTTTTTAAAATTTATTTTATGGCGATTCATATAAACTTCTGTCTGTCTAGTAAAATAAACAAATACTTCTGCACCTTTCACAAAAAATGAATTGAATAAGGAATCCACTCCCGGTTATCAACAACCTTTTCCACGATATTTTTATTAAATAATAAAAAAAATACTGTTTAAAATTAATATTTAATATATAAATATGATATGATTTAGTGTGCGGTGTTCAAACAACGACTTAACAACAAAACTTTGAGACAATCTCTCAGAAACCGGCATAGGGTTCTCTCTTACAGTACACTCCGGTCCATATCCACTAATGATTCTAGTCTCGATATTACTCTCGTGAATATTTTTTCTCAATTGAAATAAAGGAATTAGTAACATCTGATATAAACAAGTATTTAAGACTTATGAATAACGATTTAGTTAATGTGTGCTATAAAAATAACAATTAGATATATAATTCATAAAATATACATGAGAATTTTCAGAGAAAAAATCATTAGTTTTTTTAGAAACTACAAATTTACTGACATTGATTCTTGATTAAACCTATGCAAATGTGGAAAAAAAAATGTAGAAAATAAAAATAAAAATATATCTTCCTTCTTCAAAAAAGAAATCAATACAGTAATTTTTATTGGTCAAATAGATATAAATTAATTTAAATATAAAATGTGCAAACAAATATTTCAAAATTGACATTACGAAGTATTGGAAGAAATTGAAACAATAACATTTGGGTAGGGGAGAGGAAATGATTGTTAAGCTTTATAAAAAGAGGGCAATAGGAAAGGTACTGCCAATAGAAATCATTCAGCGAACCCGTAAGCATGTACAAGGTGAATGTTCAGCAATTAAATTATTATTTTATCACAGAAATACACATTTATAAATTATTAATTTTCTATTTCAGGCTTTGCTGATAGTATGTCTAGCAGCAATTACCGTGGCATATCACCACCATCCTCATCAGGATGAACACCACGATCATCACGAGAAGAAACACGAAGATCATATCATCGACTATTATGTTATTATATATATATTTTTTAAAATGTTTAATTATTAATTATTATTAAGCTCCGTAATTATTTAAAATGTTTGCACTTTCAGGCCCACCCGAAATATGAATTCCAATATGGAGTACATGACCCTCACACCCACGATATCAAGAAGCAAGAGGAATCTAGAGATGGTGACGCGGTCAAGGGCTTCTACACCCTCCACGAGCCCGATGGTACTGAGAGGATCGTACACTATACCGCGGACAAGAAGAACGGTTTCAACGCCGTTGTTGAGAGGAAAGGACACGCTATCCATCCTCATGTAAAGGGCTCAACTGAGACTTTCTTTAAACATCATCACGATCACCATGAAAAAAATGAACATCATGACCACCACGAACATGCTAAACACGAAAGCCACTATGAACACCACAAAAAGAAACATGAGGAACATTATAATCATCACGAAAAAAAACACGAAGAATATGATAACCATAAAGACCACTATGGGCACATTGGACATAGTTATCATCATGAAAAGAAGCATGAAGAACTCGATAGCCATCACAAGCATGAACATCACGACCACCATGAAAAGAAACATGAAGAACATGGTTACCACGGGCACATTGGATACAGCTATCATCACGAACACCACGAAAATAAGCATGACGAACTTGATAAACACCATGAACACCATCATGAACATATAGGACACAGCAATCATCATGAACATCATGAAAAGAAGCATGAAGAACATGGTGGACATCACGATAACCATGACCATACTGGACACAGCTATCACCACGAACACCACGAAAAAAAGCATGAAGAACATGAAACCCATCACGAACATGAACATTACAATCACCATGAACATGAACATCTTGGATACAGCTATCAGCACGAAAACCGTGATCACCACGAAAAGAAGCATGAAGAATATGAAGACCACCACGAAAAAAAGCATGAAGAACATGGTGGCCAACACGATTATTATGAACATACTGGACACAGTTATCATCACGATCACCACGAAAAGAAGCATGAGGAACATGAAAGCCATCACGAGCCTGAACATCACAATTACCATGAACATGAACATATTGGATACAGCTACCAGCACGAAAACCATGATCACCACGAAAAGAAGCATGAAGAATATGATGACCAACACGAACACCACGAAAAAAAGGACGAAGAACATGAAGACCACCATGGACATCATGACCACCACGAACATATTGGATACAGCTATCACCACGAAAACCACGATTACCACGAAAAGAAGCATAAAGAAGATGATAGCCATCACAAATACCATGAGGAAAAGCATGAAAAACATGAAGCCCACTATGAACATGAAGGACACAGTGATCATCACGAACATCATGAAGAATATGACGCACATCACGACCATCATGAGCATAAAGGATACACCTATCACCACGAAAAGAAACATGGAGAACATGAAGGCCATCACGAGGATAAACATGACGACCATCATGAGCATGTTGGATACAGCTATCACCACGAACACCACGATGACCACGAAAAAAAACATGAACATGATAGCCATCACGAACATAAAGATCACGACCACCAAGATGAAAACGAAAAGAAACATGAAGATCACTATGGCCATCATGAACACGAAGGACATCATGATGACAAGAAGCACGAAGAACATGTCGTTGACTACTACGTAAGTTTTTTATTTAATTACAAAATAGTAAAAAATATTATAGAAAACATATTTTTATGATGAGTAACAGTAATTAAGAGTATACTTTCAGGCCCACCCAAAATACAAGTTCGACTACAGCGTCCATGACCCGCACACCCACGACATCAAGAAGCAAGAGGAGTCTAGAGATGGTGACGTGGTCAAGGGCTTCTACACCCTCCACGAACCCGATGGTACCGAGAGGATCGTCCACTACACCGCAGACAAGAAGAACGGTTTCAACGCCGTCGTAGAGAGGAAAGGACACGCTATACACCCTCATGTAAAAGGATCTACTGAGTCTTTCTTCAAACACCATGGACATTCTGAAAGTTCTGGAGGTTCAAGTAGCGATCACCACTAGTCATATAAATTATTTGATACTGTGTATCTTTTTATATTTTAGTTTTTGTAAATAAATAATATAAAACATTTAAAATGGAAACGTCTGCCAAGTAAAGTGAGTATAGTTTCCTTACCGTTTCACTGTTTTCATTGCCTAAAAAATATCTGTATTACAAGGTCTAAAATTTTTCGTATGAGAATAAAATGTGTGAGAGAAACAGTTTTCGGAAATTCAGTAATCTCGCAACATATACAGGTTACATTTCCATGGGTTTTGTTCATCAGCGAATATTAAAGTGCGAAAGAGCTCCGCATTTGAAGAATGCATATTTGATTATTCGTAATTTAAAAAAAATTCAGTGCACGCTGAACATTAATGCACGTAAAAATTGAGTGTTTTACACTAGAAAATAAAAAATAATTGTTTCTTTATGAATTATTAGTATATTTTATATTTTATTGCCCTCTTCTATTTTCCATCGTGGCGTATTACTTATATCAGTTGCAAACTATGAAATATCACCTTTAGCACAGAAAGAATAAAAATTGAAAATTTTATCATATGACATTTCGCACAGACAGTAGTTATATGTACTTGTAGGGATGTTTTCATTTTTAAAATAGATGGAGCAAAAAATGCATAGGGAAAATTCAACTTTTTGTTTGTTTGTAGTTACGAGACCCATAATTTTTCTTTTGGTCAGAATAAAACTAGTCAAGATGGAATATAAAAATACTTGTAAAGTTCACATAACTTTGAGATTTAGGGTGAAAATCGAAACCACGATGAGTTGGTTGAACTTCAATAGAAATAAGAAATTACACGAAATCTAAGTAACTGCAGTAAGTATCATGCCAGTAACGTTTGGAGTCGATCATTTTTATTTTATTTATTTATCAACCCTGCCGTGCCTAGTAGGCAATACGGGTGTCTGCAATAGTAAGATGTTAGGCAGGTCAGCTCAACATCTCACTGCTGCAAATGAATCTCGTTCTTCTGCTCTTTCTTTATTTTTTTCCTCTTTCTTCATGGTTGCTTTCGTCATCCGTTTCACGCCAATGGTATAGTACCTCTTCCTCCTCTCCTTAAATTAAAATGGGCTGACCCACCGCGACTTTCCACCCGTACACAAAATCTTTGTAGTACGAGTAGTTTTCCGCAGTGACTAACTGAGGAAAATCGTTCTTTGTGAGAATGTAGAGACCGGTTTCCCTCAGTAACTTAGCCCTTAGTTCTTCAAAGGCGGTGCAGTCCACTATGATTTGTTCAGCAGTCTCCGGAACACCGCAGCTAGGGCATAGGGGGTTGATGTCCATCCCATGGCAATGAAGCTTTGCTCGAAAGCCCCCATGGCCTGTGAGAAATTGCGAGATCCAATAGTCTGGGACGATCCACCTTGCTTCTAAACGTGACCGGACGGTGGGGAAGTACTTCCTCAAGGTAGATCCTTTGGGGGTTATTACCCACCGCCGTTTGGAGTCGATCAAAAAAATACATTATAAATTGACTTTTTGAATAAAACCTAAAATTTTATAACTTCATAAAAATATTGTCTTAACCTAATTCTCACTCCAGAAGATCAATGCCTCCACATTTCACAGCCATTATATTGTTAACAATTATTTATAGTAAGTTTAATTATTAAATAGAATTCAATGAAATTGATGCTGAGTAATTTCTATACTATTCTCCAAATTTCCTCAAAGTTTGAGTCAATTCGAAAGCGCAGTTTTCAAACTATAGGGAAATAATAAATTTCATGATCTGAAAGCGGAAGTATTTTTTTTTTTTTTTGGATTAGTGGATAGAATTTGATAAAATACATATATATATATACTTGATTATCTGGGTACCAATACCTAACAACACTCCAAATTTGAGCCAAATCGAACGGACGGTTTTAGACAGATGGACCTATCAAGGAAAACACGTTTGCTCATATATAAGAGAAAGTAATGGGCAGAAGTCAATAAAATTGACACTAAATTATTTTTTTACCAATACCTACCTTTGAGCCGAATCGAATGAGCCGTTTCTGGAATATTGGCATATCGATGAAAACACATTTACGCGTGCCCAAGCGAAAGTCTTGGATGGAATTCGATAACATTGATATTGATCCATCTAGACACCAACATGCTCAATCCCTAAAAATGTCATGAAAACCAGATTAAAGGTAGTAGGTGATATGCCCGTCACATCAATTTGACTTCGGACCCACAGATAGACAGACAAACAGACGCCGAACCAAATTTGATCCTCGATGTCTGAAACGTAAAACGGGAGTGGAAATTTTCCATTCTGAGGACGATTTTTTTTTATCTCTCGCACGAATACAATGCTTCTCTACCTTCGGATGTGAGGAAGAAAAATGTTTTTATCTTAACTTCCCATACTTCTATTAAAATACGAATAGTAAATTTTGAATCTACTAAAAACAATAATCAAAAACAATAATCTTTTCATCTTTAGAATCATTCAGCTAAACCAAAATAAACCATCACTACAACTACGACTTTATTTTATTCTAATCGATATTCGTTTAGAATTATACAAAAGAAAAACGTAGAGTATTTAACTATCTTTGGTTTCTATTAGCAAACATATTGACATAAAATGCTAGCCTATTTCGTACATGAACTCTTTAATGGCACTCAATTAAAAAAGAGAGGTAAAATACCGATAAGAGAGAGTCCCGCCATACTCCCGATTCCAGCAAATCCAAGTAAAAAAAGTGATGCAGCACAATATTTAATATAGTTCTAAATGTTAAAAAGAATCAAAGAATCTATTGATGTCAGTTATTCATTAGGGATGTCTTTGATACTGTGATTACTGCTGTTTATTAATATCAGGTATATAATACAAGTCATTAACTCTATTAGCTAGATATATATATTGGATTTATAGAAGATATGAAGGTAAGAGGAGAACTCTAGCTTATGTAGAAAGGTAGTAAGATTGTCTTCAGATTCAGGCATACGGAAAATAGTAAATGTGGTGGTTCCAGGATTAGTAGCCAATTCAAGATTTTATTTGTAATTATACAGTTTTCCAAAATGAAAATGGTCCCTTATTATGAATTTTCATTTTTCATTGGTCGTTGAAGATTAAATTAAATTTGAAAAAAAAATCTGCAAAAGTACCGAATTTTACTGATGCATGTTTGGAAAGATAATTAACTTTGAGGAAAAGTGGAGGGGAGCTATATCAAGAGAGTGGGCAGGCTTACGTCATGACCTGCCATAGTGGTGGGATATTCTATAGTTTTTAGCTTAGAACACTGTTTTCAGCTACAAAAATTCCGTGCAAGAAATGTTTTTCCGTTCTTTCCTAATCTTGCTGTCTATAAATAATAATTTTTAGTTGAAATCTCCATGATGTTCTTTACTTTGATTTGAGCATATTTGTCTTGAATAATATCTCACTACTTTAAAGGAAGTCTAAGTTTATATTATGTAAAAAGATTCATGCCACGTACAGAAAGATTGAAGTTTTCTGTGTAGTATAGCACAACAGCATATAGAAACTGCCGAGAATCAGTTTCTAGGGACACCAAGGACACATGGTGTCCGTATGAAATACACTATTTTCTTAGAAGCTTTTGAAAATACAAGGAACATAATAGTATTGAAATTATACTTAAGTTTTCATTTTCTATAACGTTAAATAATTATATATTATACCAAGGCGATTTGAAGTGGCGAACCATGACGCAGGAATAGTTTGATATTGAATATCAGACAAAGTAGAGATTTGTTTAAAACTTCCTGTGGGAGGAATATATATCGTGGGAAGGATAAATTCTATAATTGAGATACAATTGTTACTAATATTATCTGTATTTTCCGCCAAACTATCCAGATCTCAATATTTTGCATTTCTTATATTTATATAATAAAAAAAAAGAATAGACTGTCACATCAAAGTTTTCCGATATATTTAAGCTGTCATATTAGCAATAACAGTGGACCTAGAGGCACTTGTAATGAGCAGTAAAGCAATTGTTTATTTCGGATCAAACACCCTCAAGAACTTTGAGTATACGTTTAGCTAATGATATCATTATTCTTAACAATTATAAAACGAATAGAACATGGATCGTTAACGACCTTTTGTTTTTCACGGAGTTGACATCAAAGTTGACAAAAACAACATAAAATTTGAAATGGTGATGGTTTAGTTAATATTATTTTAAACTACATTATGGTTAACCGTTTGCCCTAATTATTTTAAAGATTTGTTTTATAATATACTAAAGAAGGACGAAAAACAAATTAATGTTTAATATAATTTATTATCAAAAACTTAGATATGTAAAGATACACAGTATCAAATAACGTATGTGATTAGTAGTGGTGACTACTTGAACTTCCAGAATATCCATGGTGTTCATGATGATGATTGTGTTCGTGATGGTGTTTAAAGAAAGACTCAGCAGATCCTTTTACGTGAGGATGTACAGCGTGTCCTTTCCTCTCTACGACGGCGTTAAAACCATTGTGCTTGTCTGCTGTGTAGTGGACGATCCTCTCGGTACCATCGGGTTCGTAAAGGGAGTAGAAGCCCTTGACCACATCTCCATCTCTAGACTCCTCATGCTTCTTTACGTCGTGAGTGTGGGGATCATGGACACTGTAGTCGAACTTATATTTTGGGTGGGCCTAAAAGTATATATATAGCTAAATAATCAATCATTAAAAGTATATGTGTAAGATAATTTATAGTCTGAACGTTTTTTTATATTTCGCAGAATTTAAAAATACTTACGTAATAATCAACGACATGTTCTTTATGTTTCTCTTCGTGTTTTTTATGGTGGCTTTCGTGATCATAATGCTCATTGTGCTCGTGATGTTCATGGTCGTGATGACCATGGTGCTCCTCATGTTTCTTGTCGTGGTGGCTATCGTGTTCATGGTGTTCATGATGCTCATGACCATAGTGTTCTTCATGCTCTTTTTTGTGGTGTTCATAATGACTATGGTGGTGATCTTTGTGCTCATAATGCTCATGATGATCGTGGTGGCTATCGTCTTCAGAATGCTCATGGTGATCGTGATGCTTGAAGTATGTCTCGGATGAGTGCCCGTAATGCTGAGGATGTACAGCGTGTCCTTTCCTCTCTACGACGGCGTTGAAACCGTTCTTCTTGTCCGCGGTGTAGTGGACGATCCTCTCGGTTCCATCAGGTTCGTAGAGGGAGTAGTAGCCCTTGACGACGTCTCCTTCTCTGGTCTCTTCCTGTTTTTTTACGTCATGAGTGTGGGGGTCATGTACTCCATAATCGAATTTGTACTTAGGGTGGGCCTGAAAGTGCAAATATTTTCAATGAATATTTACAAAACCATTTTTTTTTTCGGATTCGGAGAAATAAAAAAAATTGGAATATAAAATTACATAGTAGTCAACGATGTGTTCTTCGTGCTTCTCTTCGTGATGGTGATGATTATCATGGTGTTTATGATGTTCGTGATATGCTACAGTAACTCCAACTAGACAAAGTACTAACACAGCCTGAAAAGGAAACTAATAATCAAAGTTTATGTTTTGGTTTTCGTACTTGAATATATATATTTTTTTTTTGAACATTTACCTTAAACATGTTGACGATTTCGCTGAATGGTTTCGATTGATAGCTTGTTGATTTCAGCTCCGCTTTTTATAAACCTAACAATCACTTCCTCTCACCTACTCATGTGATATTGTTTCCCAGCTCCCGCTTTAATTTTATTTGGCAACACATTCTGCACTTAAAGTTAAGAAATTAGCCATGTCCAATTATACATTATGAATCAGTTATTTTTCTCTAATATTCAACATTAAATGATATTATTAGAAATTGTCGTTACCTATAGCTGCTTGTGTCAGATGCCATTCTGATTCATTCAAAATAGAAATAATTCTAAATGCCCGAATTCTATTACGTAAACTGTTGTTGTTTGATAATTTTCTTGTCTAATTTCATGAACACATATTAACGGAATTCCATTAATTTTAGAAAAGAAATGTGGGAAATAACCGAACACACACCAAGCCGCTATATGGCTTAAAGGTAATTAATTAATTATCAATTAAAATAATAAAGATTTTAGAAACACATATATGCTGGAACTGCTAGTTTCCCTAACTTTCCTGGATACAATATTCAACTTCCAAGAATGGGAATCTAACTAGGAAATTGACGCTTAGACAAACAAATAAGAAAAGCATTGTGGAACTGAGATAAAATGAGTCCTGAATAATAAGAACTAGAGGATGGTTCTCTCCTTACAAGATTTTAAAACTGGTAAAAATACCATAATTAAAAGTCTAACTTAGCCATTTAATTATATTTACACAAGCTGTTCTGTATTATTAATATATTACAAATATATATTATAAGCATAATAAATATATATTAATATTACAATAATAATAATATAGAGAGTGGGATAGCTCAGTGGTAGGGCACTGATCTTCCAATGCTCAAGGTCCTGAGTTAGAAACCCGGCTCATGGCAGAAATATCATTCTATTTTAGCAGCCGTGGGACGATCCTCAGGAGGCACACCCAGCCTCTATAAAGTGGGTACCCTTAATTAAATAATTAGTTAATGGGAGGGATCTAACGGTTGAGCGTGATCTGAATCAAATCACCTCCTTGCACATCCGTTGACTAAGAAACAGTAATTGCCCTAAATAGTACGGAACCAAAAACCCCTCATGGGCTATAGTGGTACAGGCATTTCAATATTTCTTTCTTTTTTTTTTAAATAATAATAATAATATTATAATATAACTGGTTATAATATATACTTTATAATAGAGTATGTATATACAATGAATTACAACGTATATATTATTGATTTGATATTGTAATTGAGTTAAATAAGAAAACAAATATTAAATGATTTCAAATGTATAAGAAATTTTAGAGGGGCCAAGGTCAAATACTTCTTTGCTAATAAATTAAGATCAACATACTAATCAATTAAGATTTGTTTCTAGAGACCATTATATCTCTTAAATATGAATTCGTGTTGAAATGAAAAAATATAATTCTTTGGACTTTATTGGATTTGGATTTTATTGGAGATCTTTTCTAGCGTCCAGTAAAGCATTCGTACGTAACTCCTCTTCCAATGGATGAGGAAAATCCAAATAAAAACTTTTCGAATGCTTTAATTTTACATCTCCAGTTCTAATTCGTTTAGAGTGGTTAGGTTTGTGTCGTTTCTTGTAGTTAAAAGAAAATATATATATTCCAACAAAAATTCCTATTAAAGGATCTATTCGGCATTTTTTTTTCTTTTAGTTTATTATTTATTTATTGTAAAAATTAATAGAAAGTAAGTTAATCGTAGAGAGTAAAAATGAATGAATCAAAAATAAAATAAAAATGAAGAACTTATCATGGAAAGAGATCACCAAAAAATATGTAATTAAAAAATCATATACAAAAACAGAAGATAAATAATTAGATGGTATAGAAGGTATATGGTGGAGATGGTTCGCCATAATGTTGCATGTTTGTTTTCGGTAAATCGTCCGTTCGTCATCGTTAACAATCAAGTTGTTGTCTTGGTGAATATATTCTAGGTTGGTAAGTAAAGCTGGGACAACGTTAACAGATTACGAATAATGTTAAAGTTTTGACCAAGACCTAGGATATTGTTGATGTGAGGCGAAAGTTCGACGGACGAAATGTTGCGAACCCATTCTTTAAGGGGCTCTGGAGTTGAAAGCATTTTTTCTTTAATATTGTCTTTTTATGGGTTCTTGAAGAGTGAAATATGTTTGTTATAAAAATTATTATCAATTTTCGAAAATACTAATTTCTTGTTTAATTGATTGGATTAGGAACTTATTTATTTCCTGTGATATGCAGTACAGTCGATTAACTTCCTTCGATAATTCATTGAAAACTTAAAAATACAAGCTCATAATGATTTTTAATTAAAATCACAAATCTATTTGAACTCATTTAGTTTATCCTGAAAGATATGATTTTTAATGCGATTATGAATATGTTTAATGCATTCATTACACAGAGGATGTGACATCATATTTCGCGGGTTAAATCGGACACCTCTCACCACGTAATCGTGTACAACTCCATTCATTTCAGCGATAGAGTGAAAGCCTAAAAATAAAAACAATAAAGTTAGCGAAAAAGGTTCCTTTCCAAAGTATCGAAAGCCTACCAGTTTAAGTTGAATATTTTGTAAGACTTTATGGATTAGAAAGATATTGAGAACATTCGAAAAATCAAAAAAAAAAAGTATGTATATATATTTCAGTTATATAGCAGAAAAAAAACAGAGGGACGAGTCAAGCAAAACTTACGACATTGATAACAAATCGAAATTCCAATATGATTTTAAAATATGTGCATACAGGTTTATAACTATTTAGGTTATTTAGGTTTAGAACTATATTATATTAACCTTTTAAGCGATTCTTAAGGGTTTTCGGGGTAAACTTTGTATAAATATGTTCAAAAGTTGAGGAATTTAATTAATATGGCCCAAAACTGAAATATTACATAAAATTAGATAGTTATTATCCAATAATTTGCTTATAAGCACAAAAAATAATAAACAAGTTCATTAATGTATTAATGGACTTGGGTCCCCTCCTAACGGAAAGGCACTTAGGAAGAAGGAAAAGAGGAAATAAAAGTTTTATATATAAACTTATTTATCATTTATAGCAAGGCATGTACATCTGAATAACATACTTATTTATTAAAACAAGTTTTACTTGAGTAGAATACCTTTATTAAGCATTGTAATAATTACCATTAGTTTTAAAACATTTATTTACAACCTACCGAAATGGATATAATCGGTATCGAAATGGACAATAATCGATAGTACGAAAACCTTAACAGAGAAATACTAACTTTAAATACTGAAGACAGTAAAATATCTAAAAATAATTATAATAATGTATTATTCATTCCTTAAAGTTCATAGACAGCAATTTTACGATGTCAAACACTCTAAACAAAACAGATTGCTAATGTATTTTTATCTTTCTATGTGACACATAGAAAATATCTTTACATAAAATAGAAATTTTAATAGAAGTCATAGTTAACTTTTAAATAATTCTGTACTTACGAAGTTTTATTTTTTTTTATAATAACGAAATTACAAAAAAAAAATGTATATAAAGTAAAATATCGAGGAGCAATAATTAGTTGCCGATTGAAATACGTGCAGTGTGGGACGATCAATAGATTAATTTTGTATATTTATATGTAATATATAGTGCTGCCCAAATGCGAGACCGAGACAAGTCTTGGTGTTGCGCACTCAGTCTTGTAGTTATCTATTAGCTTATTATTATAGAGATAACATTGCAATTTTTAAGGGAGGAGAAACCTAACCAACCCCGAATGAAAAATTGGAAGAGTTAAATGCAAAAGTATATAAATAATACCAATTCAATACATAGAGTAACTAAAATTATCAAGTATTAGTAACGATTGCCTTAAATTTTATCCAAAAAATCGATTTCTTTTACCAGTCCTGGTCTTGCAAAGTGCATGGACATCGTTTCGGCAACACTAACTATAATATATTTATCAGACATTGATATCTTGAAGTTTGATTACAATTGTACTATTCAAGCATGACTACAATTATATTTTTATAGATGTTATTAGCTTAATAACAACCTAATGCAGGTGCTGGAGTAGAATTAGTCACAACCAAAACATCGTTTCCCAAAAAATTATGACATTCTGACACCTCGAAAAATTATAATTAACTTAGAACATTTTATTATATTAAGATAAAGGCTCTTAGTATTCCAACCAACTACTACTATTAATAAAGGTTTGAACTTTAAAAACAGTGTTCAGATCTTATCTAAACTTGCCAAATAGCTTGTAATTGAGAATTTAATAAATCTAGATGTTTAACATTGATTGGAAATAATTTTATTTTACTTATTAAATTTTTATTGATTGTTTAATTTCTAAAATTATTTATTACTAAAGACCAGGTTTTATGCTGAAGTCGATAACATCACGGAACAATTTTTGGAAAATTGTTATACTACATATATTTGCATATTTGGCCAAAATTACACATATTTCGAAAAATAGTGTATTAAATAATATTTTAGTTTTTAAAAATAAGTTTTTAAATCAGTAGGATTTAACTCATTAATAAAAAAACCATAAAATGAAAGTACAAGCTAGGACACAAACTTTATTAACGAGTAAATTAAGAGTCATTTTCCTAGTATAAAACCAACCACCTAATCACTGTGAGGTGTAGAGATTTCCAAACTTTAATATAAATTGAAAATATTATTTTTTTTTTCAGATTTAATAAAAAGTTTCAGAGTTAATAAAAATTTGTTTTTTCTGTTAGTATTACAGAATTTGTAGATCTTTTGTCACTGGAACAAGTCTGCTCCACCTCAAGCCTCATCTATCCAATAATAATAAATACTGACCAAAAACAATAGATATCGGGATGAATCAATTGTTTTTTTATACGAAGATGTTCATTTTAAGACGTATCTAATGTTTTTTTTTAAATATATTTTTCATTTAATATACAACTTAAATAAAATATTTTAAAAAATCAAGTGTTAAGGTTTCTTATAAAATTATTAAAAAGGCAAATTATATATTCAGTCAAAAAATATTAAATTCAATATAACAATTTGTTTAAAGATAATTAGGGAGATTGAAATACTGGCAATCGCAGAAAAAATATTTATTCTGTTGAATTGGCTGTGTGCCGAGCCTGGGGTAGAGACCCTCCTGGGGCACACCCAGCCTCTACAAAGTGGGTACCCTTAATTTAATAATTGATTAAGGGGAATAACCTGGCGCTTAAGCATGATCCTGACCAGATCCCCTCCCTCCTCAATAGTTGGTCATGAAACAGTACTTTTCCTAAATAGTACTGAATCTAAGACCCTAAATAGGTTTTAGTGGTACAAGTTTTTTTTCTTTTCTTTTTTTTTTTTGTTTAAAGTCAATTAAATATATATTCAACTTATATTTATTATAATAATACACTAACAAAAACAAACTAAACCAAAATATCATAACAGAAATATTTCCTGAGTAGATAAGAGTAAGAGTATGGAGGGGGAAAGTAACACTATATAAACAGGTGTAAAAGGAACCGTTGATACATTCTAAACAGAACAGTGAACCATTCAACATGTACAAGGTGAATAAACTATTATCTTACGTTTAATATTTCTTTACTTTACACCGATACATTCTTTTATACTATTTACATATCTCTCAATGTATTATTCTTACTTTCAGACAGTGCTAGCTCTGTGCCTGGTAGGAGCAGCGGTGGCTCAGTACGGACACCATGAGCACCATGAAAAGAAGCACGAAGAACACGTTGTCGATTATTATGTGAGTACGATTTACCAATTCATAAAACTACAATTCGGGCAAAAAAAAATGTAATCTAGAACATACTTTTATCACGATCCAGTAAATGACCAAATTTTAATGTCCTAGGCCCACCCAAAATATAAATTCGACTACGGAGTACACGACCCCCACACCCACGACGTCAAGAAGCAGGAAGAGACCAGGGAAGGAGACGTGGTCAAGGGCTACTACTCCCTCTACGAACCCGATGGTACCGAGAGGATCGTCCACTACACCGCAGACAAGAAGAACGGTTTCAATGCCGTCGTAGAGAGGAAAGGACACGCTGTCCACCCTCAGCATTACGGACACTCATCCGAGTCATACTTCAAACATCACCACGACCACCACTATTAGCTTTATAAATTTACTCTATGTAAAACTGTAAATAATATTCTTATTATTAGTAAATAGATATAATTTTCTATACAAATAATTTTTTTTCACTACCGAGAATCCTAAAATATAGAGCAAATTTCTTAAACTCGTGGGTGATAAATATTGAGAACGCAGTCTTTTTTAATTTTTTTTTTTATTTTTGCCAACGTTTCAACCCAAACATGTGGGTCATCTTCAGGGCGTGGTTTGAGCACTGAGGTTGTTCATGTACTTGTTGAGTACATGAACAACCTTTTACAACCTTTTTTTTTTAATCTTATTTGAAACTATTACGAACGAGTTTTTATAAAAATTAAAAAAACAAAAACAAATTGTATTTCTTGATTCTTATGGAGGATTTTATGTTTGGTTGTTAACAAAAGCGTTCATAACTACCTAGAATTTTCTTGAAATTTAACAATAATACCACCGTTGGAAACCTGAATTCCCAGTTTTAAGTTTTAAATTTTATTCCTTTATAAGCTATATATAAATAAAAAAAAAACTGTTTTTATTTATTTGAAGAGAAGAAAATATTTTTTTGAGATAATAAGTAATCGGGTGCCTTGATGTTTGATAATATAATGCTTTCGTGTGTAAAATTTTACACAGATATACTTTAGAGGGAGATGAGGTATAACAATTTTTTTAAAAGTTTTTTTTTCTGTTCAGATTCAAGTAGTTTTTGTTAGCATCTTCTTATTCATATAATTAAAACTGTTTTAGTTCCTTTTGTATAAATAATTTAATTTGTCTAAATAAGTTCCTTTTGAAACAAATAATTTCTATGTTTTTGTTCTTAAGATTATTCACTATATCAGAGGTTAAATAACTTTGTAATATACGGTTACTCATATATGTGATTGTATATAACCATGGTTTTGCAAATATTGTTTGTAGTATTCTGTTATATACGTCTGTTACTAAAACGGAGTGGAATAAATATAATGATTTATATTTTACCTCCTATTGAATAAAATCCTCTTCTGAGAAAAGTATGTCTTCAAAACATCAGTATTTAGTAATAATTACAGAGTCTTTAAGATAGGAAAATGCCTACATTGTATATATCCTGAACACGCAGAAATTTTCTGCATTTACTTTTACCAAACTATTTTTGCAAAAGATAGCTATGGCAGTATATGTGGGTCCCAAGTCACATGGGTATTGTATGAAATGAACTGGCCGATAGAGAAGTGCTATCGCTCTCTGGACGGGGTATGCGTAAATATTAAAAAATATATAAGAAAATGAATTAAATAAAAAAAAAATGGCGTTGATAACCAATGCTGTTTCCGAAAGTATACAAGAATGTACGAACCTACTGAAAAATGTCGAAGGTGAAAAAAAAGTAATAAGTATTTTTGCATATTCAAGTAACGAACAAAAAACTTCGAAATATTAGTATAATCCAGTGGCAACTACCGCATTGGATAAATAATAAATATATATTACAATAAATAAGCGACATTAGTGAAACATATTTATCCCTATTTACAATATAATATTAATAAGATAGTCTATCCACTACACACAATTATTTGGGCTTCATACTTCAACACGATTTTTAAGGTAACAATTTACTTAATTCATAATAAATCAGCTTACCCCACTGCAACAAATACTGAATAAATTCTTACAGCGAGATTCCTACCGTATTTAAGTATGGTAGCTTGTATAATTCTCCAACACAAAATGAAATAAAAAATGTTGGAAATATTCATGAAGAAAACTCTTCAATTCTCACAGTTTTCTTCTTTTGATAAAAAAAATAATTATTATCACACCATTTTGTCAACGTTTTAAGTTGTAGATGATATTTATTGTAACTTTTGTCGTCTCTATCCATAATTTATCATTCATTTTGTCTTTTATTTGGATAGCGGGGTAGCTCAGTGGGTAAGACATTAACTTCCTTAATCGACCCGGGATCGGAAATCACTTCTGGAGTACATCCATAGGAATAAATTATTAATGGGAAAAAGCTTGCAGTTGAAGCGTGATCCCCGCCTAATACCACTCTGAATAACCGTTGGCTTCCAAACACTACTCCCTTAAGAAGTATTGAATCCTGAACTCTTCATGGGTTGTAGTGGTTTAGTGTTTTTTTTAATTAACAATAAATTAAAAAATATATTAGATATAATATGTAGATTTAAGATTTGCTATTTCATTGAAACGACTGTGTCTGTCTACTTACTAAAGATTGGACTTATGAGGGTGTGTTACGATCAGTGGGTTACCAATTTCAACCTTTTTTTGTGTGTGTGTTATTCTACATCGAAAAATACTAGACATATTTTCAGGTGCTTGTTCCAATGGGTCTTAGGACCAGAGAGAAATTGATTTCATAAAATATTAAGAACATTATATGGTTTTTATTTTTGCCTTTGCTTTTCCAGATTTTCTAGATTATTATAATCCAAACGATTTCTTTTTTGGTTCAGAATAAGAAAAAAATATGGTCTATGGTATTAAGTGGGTTATAATCACGAAGAAATAGGTGAGTGTAGACAATATTATTGGGTAGTTAATTGGAGGTCTCAGAGAAAAATAAAAAACAATTATTTTTCCCCTTGACTATAACCCTCAACTAACTTTTTAACAAAATTAGTCATACTGCATCATTAATAACAAAAACTAAAAGTAATTGGCTTCCAGTAATTTATACCAAATATAATTTTTTAATGAAAATGCAAGTTAAGTTCTTTTTTAATCTTCTTTGAAACTATTACGAACGAGTTTTTATAAAAATTAAAAAAACAAAAACAAATTGTATTTCTTGATTCTTATCGAGTATTTTATGTTTGGTTGTTAACAAAAGCGTTCATAACTACCTAGAATTTTCTTGAAATTTAACAATAATACCACCGTTGGAAATCTGAATTCCCATCCAAAATCAGTGAAGTTTTAAATTTTATTCCTTTATAAGCTATATATAAATAAAAAAAAAACTGTTTCGGCCAAAAGCTGGTCAAACAAAGGATGTCGCAATGACACCCTTCAGGTCTTGCGACGTCTCTTCAATTATTCACTACAGTCAACCTCTAATCCACAGATTTTATTTTATATTATTGATTCTTATTCGTTTAAGGAGGTTGGTTTAGCCCCATTGTGTATAGCCTTCAGGGCTCTAAATCCGTGATCTTTTTAGCGTAAATCGGTAAAGTCGTCTTGAAGTTATAATATTTTTGTTTTTTACAATAAAAATGTAAAATTAGATGAATGGGATAAATGGTAGTGGTTAATCATAAGGGTAAGTCAGACATGATAATGCACTCAAAATAACACAATATTTAATTAAAATAATGAACAATCAGACACAATATGAATAAACTCCCGTATATCGTTTATACATCACCGGTTTCACCGTTTATTCATTAAAAAGGTAAAATTAATAATAAGTAAAAATAATCTCCTGACATAATGTATTTCTTGAAATAATAAAATAAGATTCAGAATGAAGTAATAATCGAGAACAAACTTACCAAATTCGATTTTTGGAGCAAAAGGCAAAACTAAGGAAAGGTTTGCAACAATGTTTGAGAAACCAGGTAGGGGTAAGAGGGAGAATATTTGGCTTATAAAAGAGAGAGAGAGGAATGGTACGGTACATTCCAATTGGTTTAGTAAACTAGTCAACATGTACAAGGTGCTTGTTTCATTACAAGTCATTTTTATCAACCAAACTAGTATATGGATATTTTTTAATTTGTGATTTGTGATTTCAGGGAGTGTTAGTTCTGTGTCTGGTAGGAGCAGCCTTCGCCCAGTACGGTCACCATGAGCACTACGACCATCATGAAAAGAAGCACGAAGAGCACATCGTAGACTATTATGTAAGGTGTTTATTAATAGTTAGAAACTTGGTATTATAATTTAATTCAACTAGAGCAACACCAAAACTTAAACATTGTTATCACTTTGTTGATATTTTAAGTTTGATTTAAGATTGCCAACATTTGCATCTTTCAGGCCCACCCAAAGTACAAATTCGACTACGGAGTACACGACTCCCACACCCACGACGTGAAGAAGCAGGAAGAGACCAGGGAAGGAGACGTGGTCAAGGGCTACTACTCCCTCTACGAACCCGATGGTACCGAGAGGATCGTCCACTACACCGCAGACAAGAAGAACGGTTTCAACGCAGTCGTAGAGAGGAAAGGACACGCTGTCCACCCACATGTCAAGGGTTCGACTGAGACCTTTTTCAAGCATCACCACGAACACCATGGAACCTCTGAGAGTTCTGGTGAATACCACCACGGTTCTGCCTCATCCTCGTCCTCACACTCAAGTCATCATTACTAGTTTTATTAATTAATAAATGTAAATACTTTATTGTTTATACTTTTTTTGAAACATTCTCCGTGCTCCTCTCGAGTGTTAAATTCATAACTGAAACCTAACCTTGTATTTTAGAATGAATGCAAGTACGTAAAGAAATTACATAATTGTTATATAATATAATACTTATATAAATCTTATTTATATATATATATATATTAAATAAACAAGTGATCAAATAATTGGTTACAGCTGCAAGATAAATATATATACATGTTTGCCAGAGATCTAAGATTTAGAACGGGTTTTATATATATATGTATATATATGAAAGTTCAATAAAGGAAGATTCGAAAAAAAAGATAAATAATATATAAATTTAAAAATCCAATATCATTTATGTATTAAATAAATTAAAATATAAAAAACAAGAACAAGTGCATTTTGGATGGCAAAAAACATGTCTTTATTTTTTAAAAAATTAGTTTCAAATTTCTAATATAAATAAATATTTTTTAAATAAACAGTATAAGTGAGCAGAATTATATTTAATTAAACTCCACTAAAGGAAGATTCGAAAAAAAAGATAAATAATATATAAATTTAAAAATCCAATATCATTTATGTATTAAATAAATTAAAATATAAAAAATAAGAACAAATGCATTTTGAATGGCGAAAAACATCTCTTTATTTTTTAAAAAATTAATTTCAAATTTCTAATATAAATAAATATTTTTTAAATAAACGATATAAGCGAGCAGAATTATATTTAATTAAACTTGCCTATTCCAATGCTTACTCCGATTGTAATTCCCCTCAAGACGTTGTAAAGTAGATAAAGCAGACGGGGGGGGAGGGGGCTTTCGGGTTGAAGCCCTCCCTCCCAACATTGTAAAATATAACCATGTTTTACAGAAAAAAATATTAAAAACTATCTCTGAAAGTATTTTTGTTCCTGTAATTACATTTAATAGGACTTCAGGAACCACTTAAACACCATTTCACATAGGTAGGTAATTTCTTTCTTTTTTTAAAAATTAATTATCGTTATATGTAAATGAAAAAAAAATCTTTCGGGCTGAAGCCCCCCAAAATTAAATCCTGGATCCGCTAGTGTAATATGGTACATATTAGACGCATAATAATATATAGAAATTCTTATATTCACTTAGATAACTATGTTATAATATTGGAATATATTATAATTATATCACTATAATAACTATTATAACTCACTATTATAACTATGTTATAATATTATATCTCTTTATTCCCCAGTGGAATACAAAAAATGTAATAATAAAAAATATATGTATATATATATATATATATATATATATATATATATATATATATATATATATATATATATATACACCCAACTACAATTTTTTTACAACTACGTTTAAATTTATAGAGATAAGCTAAACAAAAGTTTTTTTAAAAGTATTATTATTTTAATTTGTGTATATATATTTTTCCTGAAAAAGCTTTTATGATTTTGGTATTTCTGTTTCATAAAGCATAAAAAAAATATAACCCAACGAATTTCTATTGAATTCAGCCAAGGTTTTTAGAATAAAAAATTGAAAGGAAGAAGATGGTAAAAGTATTCATTGATTAATAATTAATAAAACATAATTTTAAAACATCTGAAAAGCTACTTTTTTCTAAGTTATTTACAATGACGGCATTTTTTTTAAACTAAAGTTACCACATAATTTTTGAAAAATATATCTTACTTTTTTATTGGCTGAACCTGAAGTGATAAATATGTATTTGTTCTTTTTTTAAATTTCAAATAACAAAATTATAGGCCGTAACTCACATTCACAGTTGTTTGTTTATTTAAAAAAAAAAGGTATTTGCTTTTAAATAGAAGTATACAAATATTCGCATCATACAATTTCATTCATTCGTACTTTGCGATCATGGAATAATTCAAGTCAGTAGTTTCAATGGTTTTTTTTTTTTTCATCACAAATGACTTCAACTTTAACTGTTTGAAAACAACTTTTATCAATAACAGCTTAAAGGTAAACGTTTCTTTTCAACACTGTTAAATAAAAGTTCTAGCTTAAAAACGGTTTTACTTTTTTAATACATATATAATTGTCATAAAAAGTATTTGTTAAAAATTTACTCATTTCCTTTAAAATAAAAGTTATAGGCACCAAAAATAAAAATAAAAATAGAAGTTCGTAATTATTACACTGCTCAGTACTGAGATTAGAAAACTAATAATTTCCGGAGATCCTGTAAAATATTTCAATGCTAGCTTAGAGAACATTACACAATGAAAGTTTTATTTGTCAATGAGAATTGTTTTATCAGAGGAGGAAAAGCTTTAATGTTTTTGCATTAACTTAATACAAACCAACTTGTTCTATGCCTTGTAAATATTAGCTATGTACATATACATATGATTATATTTTCTGTTGATAACAACGTAAAAGTATATAATTTTATTCATTAAAACCTTTTCAAGTAAATGGTTTATAAAAACCATTATATAAAATATGTTATTAATGAGGTTTGAAAGCAAAAGTTATGAAAATGGGATGTATGAAAGTAAAAGCTCAACATAAACTTATTATACGCCAACATATATAGGTAGAAGTTAAACTTTTACTTCTAATTATAATAGTTGACTGTTTCATTCGACTCCTGATTGGAATTCATAACAAATATATATGGAACACATTAAATTAAAAAAAACGTTGTAGATTCATTTTTTTAAAATATTTTTTGACACTTCACGTCTCTGAAATTGCCAATACAAAGGGTTTTTCAAGAGGAAATATTATTAAATAACATATATATATATATATATATATATATATATATATATATATATATATATATATATATATATATATATATATATATATATATATATATAGTGAGCTACAACTGGAATTCGGTATCTTACTAGAGGGAACTACAATAATAATAATAATGTTTCACGGCTGCTCAGCTGTGTTGAGTTGTTAAATAGCACAGCATACTCATCAATCAATAGATAATACTGTAAAAAATATATAAGAGAGAGTTAGGTTGGACCATTGGAATACATAGTAAATATTCCAAGAACTGTTCATAGAATTAAAGAAATTTTTATTTTTTATTTTTTATTTTTTTATTTTTTCCAAACCCCTATTTGAAAGTTTTGCTCTTTTAGTTTTCTGACGTTTCTCCTTTTACTGTAGTAAGACTACATTTTAAGGAGTTTTTGAATTATATATTCTGATTAGTTTATTTTATTTTTAATGTTATTTCTGGGCACTGGGGCGTGCTTTAACTTTTTGATTTGGTTTTCCCTTAATATTACATTCTAAATCTATTTCTTAAAACTAATCTATTCTAATCTATTTCGGTTACCGCTTGCTGCCATCTAATAGGGGCTGGTGCTGGGGTTAATGTCTTGAAGAGAGGGTTGGTAGGCAGTTGAAGTGAGTCGAAGAATTTGATGTGCCTACGTCTAATGAATTCTGGAACTGTGGGAAGTTCAAAGAATTCGTGTAGTTTTTCCATCTTCATTTTCTTCAGTGATGTGGAACGGACTATTTTACTCAATATTGAATTTTGAAATTGTTGTAGATGTCGTTGTGTTCCTTCTCTGAGGTGGGTGAAGAGTGGGGCTCCATATAGTAGGGCTGGTCTAAGTATTGAGAAGTTTTTTTTCATCAAAGAAATGAAGGCCAAGATCCAATATATGTGTTGATCGAGGAGTCTAAATTAGTCCAAAATAATAGTTTCTGCAAGAAATTATTTGTAGTAAGATAGATGCTTCCCATTGCTTCCGAACCATATCCCTTGAACTGAGAACTCTCTCATGCCGAATTCATCGCTATACTTTTTTTCAGATGGGCTATGCATTTCGTATAAATTTCATCTTTCTTCACCTGTGCCTTGAAGTCCTGATCCTGTTCGTGTGTCTCAAACCTGATCGTGTGAACCACTATTATTGCCTCGTTCTCCTTGGCATTGAACGCCAAAATGTCAACGAATCTTGTCGAGCATTCTGTATCCAGGAAATAAACTTCGAGGAAACATTCATTGTTCTTCATTCAAAGGAATTCGGCTATACGATGCTTTATATTATTGTACCGGCGAGTGAGAAGGAGTATGTCACGCTGACAATTGCCCGCACATCAGCTGGGTTCCTGACTCACCGCCACATTTTTGGTTTAGGAGTCCAATATCTCCGTTAACCTGGCTCACGGCCCCTGGTACTCCGCAAAGATAATTAATATTGAATTTCACGACTTTAGTCAAAACACAGCAAATATTTTTTGTATTTGATTTCTACCCAAACTTAAAATGAAAGTTATGTGAGAGGACACACCAGATATGCATATTTTTACCACTTCACATCTATCAATAAATGATGTTGATCCTCATTCATTCTTCAATATGGGACATTTAAAACGGTATGACAATAGGATATGACAAGCCACAGATAAAGAATAACAATATTTGAGAAAAATGTATTTAGACAATAGTGCTAAGATGCCGCTTACAAATTTTATAAACATGAGTAAGCTGGACATTTCAGAAGGATAAAGGGAATATCACTATAGGAATAAAAGGGAATAGCATAGTTTAGTTTAGTAGCAATCTCTCAAATTTTTGTAAGACCTGTAAGCAACTTTTTCAATCACTTAATTTCGTATATCTTTATTTAATTTTATACATAATTTAATTAAAAATAACTTTTTTTTCAAAATTGATTCAGAAAACAAATATATCATCTTTAATCTAAAAACACCAATATTTTATTATTTAAAAAAAAAAATACAGTAATTTAATTCAAAAGAAGTTAGACTAACCTATGTTATTGTATCGGCTATTTGATTACTTTTCTAAAAATGATTTCGTTATACTAAAGTTTCCTCGATATTTATGTTTTTTTTTAATCACTGGCTCATTGATGTATCTTCTTTTTTCATTTACTTTATTTTTATCTGGATCAATTTCGAAATAATTTTAAATTCTATCATAGTTAATGATTACTTTTTTCTTCAATTTGTTTTTCTATCAAATAAGTAAGTAATTATTGAAATGCACTATATGACTAAAAAAATAAATAAATAACTATATCTTTTAAGTTCCAAAAGTGGCTATTATTAATATTCAGGAGCAAGTTGTTAAATATGGAATAAGACACAAGATATAAGGAAAATACCTTACTGACTAAGATACACAATTAAAAATATAACTAATAAACAAAGTAATAATATACAGCATAGATGGCCAATATGCGGCTTCCAAACGTTTTTGCGCGATATTTATTAATCTAGGGCGAAAATTAATTAATATTTAATTTTTAATATAAGAAATTTGGAAATTAATAGAATTAAGTTGAATGTATGTATATGGGTGTGCATATTTAGCAATAAATCAATATATTAACAGTAAAATATAAAACATTGTTGCAGCCTCTAATAAAAAAAGTTCCCCCTTTATGATATAGAATCTCTTATCGAATATAAGACCGAAATGGAAAGAAACGACATTTATTAAATTAATATTTTCTTGAAAAATGGTAAATCTATTATTATATTTATATCTGCCCTGACATAACCAGTTTTATGTAAACATAAAAGGTACACAAAATCAAAATCTCCATAGCTACTTCTTACTATATTACGAATAAAATTATCTACAATGACCTAAACATCCCAGGTTCTAGATTTAAAGTGATATCAGAATTAAATTGGATATTTTAGCTCCCACTAGTGCCTTTCAACTTATTTAACACCACCATGGTCGCTAAAACCATGTAAGGCTGATTGAGGAAATTTCGAAGGCTGGCAGGATATTAATATTTTTTTCGATACCTTCATTACGTTAAGGATGTGACATCATATTAATTTTAGTCCAATGAGCAGGAAACTTTTCACGTAATCGAACTCCGAAGTATTAGAGTGTTAGGGTGAAAGCAAGATTTGCAACAATGTAAGTGTCGAGCCAGATTTGATTCGCAACGATCTGTAAAGTTAAAAAAAACAGTCTATATATACTCCAGTACTCCAGTATATACAAGTACTCCATCAACAAACTTAAACATTGTTCTGAAGTGAGAGAGGTTGTAATATTTCTGAATAAAAATGTTCCAAAAAATATCATAAATAAATGTAATATTATTTCCTATCAATTATTATTATCCCTATACTATCAATGTACCTGAGGATACGTTGTTCAACAATTAATATAATTGTGAGGCGTAATAATAACAATTTTTTAAAATAATTATTTAATACAGATTTGCTGATATTTGCACGATGTAATAGTTTGATATTGAAAGATGATATTTTCAAAGTTAAATAAAAGCAAAATATAAATAAATGAGGCAATAAGCCATTTTTATCACAGAATTCGAATTCGGAAAACTCGAACGTCATACTTTAAAGTTTATTAATTTTGAAGTAAACAGATAGCATACACATTCTCAAAAAACCAACGGTATATTACAACGGAAATATTTCCTGAACTGATAAGACTCCTACTCCCATTTGGAGGGGAAAGTAACAACAATATATAAACAGGTGTAAAAGGAACCGTTGATACATTCTAAACAGAACAGTGAACCATTCAACATGTACAAGGTGAATAGGCTCATGTCTTACGTTTCAAATTATTGGTTTATAACATAATAAATATTAAAAGTATGATGGATGAATTTTCTATTTAAATAAAATACTTTAGTTTATCGAAACAAATCACCTTTACTTTCAGGCAGTGCTAATTTTGTGTCTGGTAGGAGCAGCAGTGGCCCAGTACGGACACCATGAGCACCACGAAAAGAAGCACGAAGAACATGTTGTCGATTATTACGTGAGTTTATTTTAACGTCTTTCTAAATTTTAATATGTACAAAAAAATTAATAATCGAAAAAAAGACAAAAACAGTCCAGAACATTTGTTTTATCACGGATATTAATTTGGAGCTACAAATGTTTTTAGGCTCACCCGAAATACAAGTTCGACTACGGTGTACACGACTCCCACACCCACGACGTGAAGAAGCAGGAAGAGACCAGGGAAGGAGACGTGGTCAAGGGCTACTACTCCCTCTACGAACCCGATGGTACCGAGAGGATCGTACACTACACCGCAGACAAGAAGAATGGATTCAACGCCGTCGTAGAGAGGAAAGGACACGCTGTACATCCTCATGTAAAAGGATCGACTGAGACCTTCTTCAAGCACCACCACGAACATCACGATCATCACTACTAATTTTTAAGCATCTAAAGTATAAAAATATTATGTTAATTATTATTTTGTAAAAAAAAAACAATAAAATAAAAAAAACAATAATATATGTTGAATACTTAAAAAACCTATTAGTCTGTAGCAAACAAATGTATCATTTTTCATACTAAGCTTTGTCCTAATAAATTGTTATATCCACAGGCCTGTTGAGAAAAAAGCACGCCTGCCAGCTTATAGCCGCTGGAATACAAAATGGCGGCATTGTGAAGATAGATAGAGACCCTACATAGTTTGTAAGCGTATATATAGAGAGAGATTATAAATATATAAAGCTACCAATCCTTTGAATTTATAGAATTTACAGCCTTAAGACATGAAATAATAGTCAGTTGCCCTTTACCCGTAGATTTTAATTCGAAAAATTGAATTTACGATTGAAAAAGTTTACTTTTCTAGGTTTTTCACTTATGTGAGTGAAACAATGCATTCCATCTACAATAATGTTATACATGAAATCAAATCTGACTACATTTTCAATAGAAATGGTTATATTAGTTTTTTCGCTATATTCTAATTTCCGTGATATCCGTCCTCGTAATTTAGTAATTTCGAGAACAAAAAATTTTGCATAGCATTTTTCTCTTTATTTGACTTTCCAACTCTTTTTCTTTCCGTGTTACGTAAAAGAAATTGTTTTATATTATATTTTCTATAAAAATATATATTACTTTACCATCTCATCTTCTACCATTCAAAGGCTAGAGCCATTATAACTTAATTAATAAACTCCGAAACTATACAGATAAACTTCTTTCAAGCAATTTTCGATATTAAAAAGTCCATAGTCTGTATAAGAGACAACATACATTCGTATACATTGACTTACATAATATACTTTTATATACTGTCTAATAAACAGATTAAGAGCTGTGTAATAATGAAAATTGCTAAAACTAAGTTACTCTTTATAGCTTCGGCGTTTAATCATTAAATTATAATTGATCTATCCGTTGATTTCTTGAATGATTTAAAAAAGAATATATCTATGATAAACATGTTTTAAAAAAAAAACATACATTTTAAATCGTTTACTGTTAGTTCTCCTGTAAATCAAAGTGGTTAATCTGTAAAAAAATTATATAATGAAGATAACAGTAGTGTAAGTCTCACAATTGTTGTTTTTCAAGTTTAATCTATGGAGATAAATTTGAAAAAAATAATAAATTTTTAGTTTAATAGCGTTAAAAACAGTCGTTATTTAGTATACATCTGCAGAATTCCACAATAAGGATTCATTTAAAAATACAATAAGGCGAAGCTATGTGCTTTTTATTAAAGCAGAATTTTGTAGACAATATATGATAAAATTAAGATGAGTCTTAGTTTTATCTGTAAACTTTTTTAATTTTAAAACAGAAAGTTTTATTTTTAAAATTAATTAATATTTACTTTACTTTTCACTTTTAATTTCAACTAAATAGTCTCTAGTCTGCATGTGGCCTCCGTGACGTAGTTGCGACCTCTAAACGTTTTTGAGCAATATGTATTAATCTTAATGTATTAATATTTTAAAATTAATAGAATAAGTTGATTATATGTATATATGTTTACATATTCAGTAATAAATAAAAATAGTAACAATAACATGTTTTAAAAAAAAATGCAGCCTCCATTAACACTGCCTAACCTTACTGCGGTCTCTCATGATGAAAAAGTTCCCCACCAATGAAATAGAGCCTGTAGTTATATTTGATAAAAAATATTGCACATTTATACTTGTAGCATGGTTTTAATTTGAAACAAATGTCTTTGGAAAACAGGGAGTTTAAAAATTAACATAAAGCTCTGTCAAATGAAAAAAAAAGTTATATCAATACAAAATGTATCATAATAAAATTGAACATCTAAAACATTAACATTTTTAATTTTCTAAATATATTACAATCATAGTTATAGAATGAAGGTGATATTCATATTTTCAAGCAGATTTCATCAACAATATATTATCAAGCTATTATAGACAGTTCTTCACATAAACAACACCCCTTCATTTCAAGAATTAATTTGCTAATTTGCAAACACATCATACAGTCATTGCAACATGGATTAACTCTCTTTTCACTGAAAATTTCTATATAAGATTATTATCTGCTCTAGTGTCCTAGCCATCTTTGCTTTTGACGATAACTTACATTAAATTCTTTATAACTTATTATAATGCAATACGTATGCATAGTGTTTTAATATGTATGAGATACTTTTTTTTTTTTTTTTTTTGTCCTTCCCTTCCTCGCCTTTAAGGCTATACGGGGGTTTTCCCGGGCCAGAGTGTGGGCGGGGATTTAAAAACTCCGGGCACCGGGACGCGAACTCGTTCCTATTTTTATATCTTTGATTGATATATCAGGTTGCCGGGCAACGGCGGTGCAGTGCACACGCGTTAGCCCATTCGACAACCCCGCCCACATGTATGAGATACGTATATGCAGAGGCTTGTAAACTTAGGTAAAATAGTGAAGTATGGCTTCAATCGAAATACATTTTTTACCACTCCCTTCACCTCCCACTCCTAAAGATAATAATCTAGTCATAAAGAACCAAATAAAATCGGACATGTGGACTTCCACCGAACCGGTATATATTTATGACCGAAATAATTATATTGTTTTAATTAATTTAATTATAATTTCCCAATCCTTAAAATGCCCTTGGGCAGTGGAAGGACCTTGCTGTTTGTATATATTTGTATTGTTACACTTTATATATATATAATTTAATTAAATAAACTTTTTAGGACGTTAGAAAAAAATATATAATTTTTACATTATAATCAACTATATTTTAGTAATATCAACGATATTATCTGAATACGGACAGTAGCCTTGCTTCCAAGGAAGTATTATTTTGTTAAAAGGATCATTTCTGCAATAAATAATGAACGCAAACAGAATACTAAAATAATATAAGAGTGATTTTTTTTCTTAACGCTTTTTTGCAGCATTGGTTGCAGCATTCCTTTATTAAAATTCAAACCTCTATTCATAGAAAGATCGAAGAGTTTCCTCCAGCATTTTCTTAAAAGAATTTCTTCTCCATAGCATTTAACCAAATATTTAATTTGTTACGATCTACTTGAGATGCCTCGGTTAATTTAGCCACATCACTGTCTCAAAACTTAATATCAGAATCAGTTAATTACTGGATTGTGAACCGTCAGATTTATATATTCAAGTTTACTGGAATCCAGTTTTTCTTCTTGCTTTCTGAGGTGCTACGATTAATTGAGCAAACATTATGTTAATTATTGCCGAAATATTTATATCTTTGTAACTCTGAACCTGTTTTATAAGCAACACTGACCTAGTTCAATAAGTTGTATTGTCACGGGATCCTGTTTTTCCCCCATTCTATTATCGGATTTTTTCCCTTTATTTGAGATTTTTTTTAGATAATTTAAAAAAACAAACAATTTGTTTTTCTTATATACCTGCCAACGTCTTAAAAACAGGTATACCTTATTTTAGGCGGCACGGTGCCAGAAGGGCTTTAACTTTGGCATTAATCCACCGACCAGTCTTCTGGCCCAGGAAAAACTCCGTATAGCCTAAAAGGTGAGGAAGTGGAGAAAAAAAAATCTATCTGTAGTACAGTACTGTACTGTATCCTATATATCTAACAGTATTGATAAAAGCCATAATGATCACAAAATAATAATAAAAAAGAAGATAGAGTTAAAGAATAGAAAAGTAGCCAAGTGGTGAATGAACTGAAAATATATAAAATACTGAAACAAATTGAAATTTTCTGTTTAATGAATTGGCTCTATTAGATTAAATTTTTATTACGTTCTAAAGAGGAAGATGTAAAATTCGGTTTGTATTACTGAACAAGCTCGAGGGCAAAGTGAAATTGTTCTTCCAATTTTTTGTAGGGTGTTGAAATATGACCTAAGAAGTTGGTTGGAGACGGATGCTCATCCAAAGCAACCTAAACTGGAACTGAGATTTAAACATTTATATAAATTATAATAAAGTTTAATGCAGTAGGGAATGGAGATCAACTATTAGGCGAATGCTACTACTTCAAATAAATCCGACAAAAACTATTATTAGCGAATATGAAGCAAATATTAAGAGACAATGAAGAGTCACCACTCCATTTGAATACTTAGTAGAAACTAAGTATTATAATAGAGTATATAAACTTACTGCCAATGACTAGAGGCGATTACAAACAAAACAAAACAAAAATGAGAAAACGTCCGATTTCTAAGAATTTTCTAAGATATAAAAGGTGCAGGCTATGACAAAATGAAGCCATGAAGTTTTAGTCGAATAATAATAATTTGATAGAAAGGTGATATAAATTATCATCCCTCTATTACTACCCTTTTCATTGTAATATAGCAGATAATTATTTTTCCTGTAAATACAGCTTTAAATATCGTGGATTAATATTCTAATGTACATATTAAAAAAATAAAATTAGAGTCATAAAATATTCATTAATTCCTAAAACTGAAAAAAAAAATCATGAAATATAACAGTTAATTACTTAGCCTCACAGTACTATATTGGTGTAAATAAACAAGATCGTGTATTTTTTTAGAATTTCTAAACCTAAAACCTAAACCAGTAAATAGAAAAGCGTTAATACTATTGGACGAAATTAGAAAAAAAAATCTAATTACCAATTAGAAATAACAAGAGGAACAATTAATTGAAACGCAGTTTAATTAATTATCTAACGATGAGGAAGTGAATTGAGATAAATTAAACGCCCTGGATACAATGCAATATAAACTGAATGGAAAGGACTGTATCAATGAAAACGTAGAGGTGGGAAATGCATGCAACCCTTTCAACAAATTAGGTAGGGGTGAGAGGGAGAATATTTGTCTTATAAAAGGGAGCGGTGGGAATAGCATAGCATATACAAAGTTGTTTAGCAAACCAGTCAACATGTACAAGGTGCTTGTTCAATTTTAAGTGATTTGAAAATAATTGACTATAATAATGGGTGCATTATTAATGAAGGAATATGTGTTTACAGGCCGTGGTAGTTCTTTGCCTAGTTGGAGCAGCCTTTGCACAATACGGACACCATGATCATCACTACGATCACCACGAAAAGAAACACGAAGAACATGTCGTCGATTATTATGTATGGTTCATTCCGCAGTTTAAAACAAACTGCTTCAAAATTATTAATCTCTACGAAAAAAATAATACATTTAATTTTTCTGTTTCACAGTTTGATAGAATAATTATCACAATTAATAATAATAGATAATGTTATCTCATTTTCAGGCTCACCCGAAGTACAAGTTCGACTACGGAGTACACGACTCCCATACCCACGACGTGAAGAAGCAGGAAGAGACCAGGGAAGGAGACGTGGTCAAGGGCTACTACTCCCTCTACGAACCCGATGGTACCGAGAGGATCGTCCACTACACCGCTGACAAAAAGAACGGTTTCAACGCCGTCGTAGAGAGGAAAGGACATGCTGTCCATCCTCATGTTGAAGGATCTAAAGAGACCTTCTTCAAGCACCACCACGAAGACCATGGACACTCTGAGAGTTCTGGTGGGTATCACCACGGTTCTGCCTCATCATCTTCCTCGCACTCAAGCCATCATTATTAGTTCTAGAAATTAAGTCATGTAAATAATATTTTTTACTTTTATATAAAATACACACGAAAACATAATTTTAGTTTTCTTCCTCTTGTACCTGGAATCAATTTCAAATCATATTTTATAAGAATTTTTCAAGTTCTTTCACAATATATTTTTAAAGAATATTAATTCCAAATATTACAGAATGTGTTTAAAAGAATAAATTAATAGCTGGTGAAAAATAGGATTTTCTAATGAAATTTAAGGCCATAAAACAAATGATGATGTTTTAAAAATTATAATGGTGAAGTTATTTAGTACTACGATTGAGTGAAAAATAAAACAGGAACAAACTTTTTGTTTATTATGCAATGTTTCTTTCTGGTTATTCGCTATTCTTGAGAGGGCAGTGGTCCTAGAAATAGCATCCATTCTATTATCCATTTAATGTTGGAGCTACTAATATTTTTCTAATTGAGGATAAATTTATATAAAGGAACTATATACATGGGTAAAATAGGAATGGCAGAACGTATGGGATAAGAGTGCTCCAAGCAAACTGAAACTAATAAAGAAAGATGTCAGCCTTGTAGTTCTTCTAGTAGCAGCATTCGCTGAGAGGAAGGCCTCCTTGCCCGGCTTAGGATCGGACACTCAAGATGGACCCATCTCCACCTCATCACTAAAGCTACACCACCTAGATGTCAGTATTGCAATAATATACTGTTCATGACTCTCATTTTCCGAGATTAGCCGTTTTATAGTCGTAAATTAAATGACTTAAAAAAAAAAAAAAAAAAAAAAAAAAAACCTGTACCACAACAACCCACGAAGGGTCTTGGATTCAGTACCATTTAGGGAAAGCACTGTTTCTAAGTCAACGGTTGTGCAAGGAGGTGATTTGACCAAGATCACGCTCAAACGCCAGGTTTTCCCCCATAATCAATTAAGGGTAACCACTTTATAGAGCCTGGGTGTGCCCTAGGAGGGTTTCTTGACTCAGGGTCGCCCCACGGCCACTGAAACAGATAAATAAATTTTCTGCCATGAGCCGGGGTTCGAACCGGGGACCTTTAGCATTGGAAGCTCAGTAACCTACCACTGAGCTACCCGACTCCTTAAATGACTTAGAAATATCACTACTCTTAGAAAACGACAGCAATAGAACTGACAAAATAATAACATTTCTAGCAAGGGTAAATTTAATGAAAGAGCTGTAATAATTATAAATTTATAAATGTGTGTATATATTACCTTTATCCCCCTTATTTTATTTATTTAATATTAGTCCTCTTTTACTTATTTTTTATTTATTTATTTTTATATGCATACATTGTTGATCTATTATTTTTACTTTCTTTATTTATTTAATTTTTTTGTCCATTAAACCTACCAGATAAATATTTTATGGATAAGGCGCTGATGACCTAGAAGTTTTGCGCCTATAACAACAAAACGACCAACCTACATGGGTAAAATCATTACGGACGAAATATTTGGAGTTCATTTGGAACCGTTAGAATTAAAGCAGAAAAGCATTTCTCCCTAATTTAAAAACTTAGTTCAATCTAAATCGGCTAGCTTATTTCTACTGAAAATATTGTTATTTCTTTCAGTTCTTAACCAACCAGTCATGGCATTAAAATTGATAAGGAAAAAATCGCCCAAAAGTGCTAATTCTAAAATAATTACATAACTATTGACAATAAAAATTCCGACGATAACGAAACTTTTTGAAAACGAAAGTATATTAGTTTTTTTTTTTTATTATTTTTTCAAGTCCTACTTTTTTTACATAGATTTTTATATTCAATTATGAAATCTCGTTATTTTCAATAGATCCATTAGGATTTCTACATCTCTTTCTGTTTCCTGTAAGGTTTCTTGAATTGTGCAGATGATGCATGTTAAAGTTCTCCTCATGAACAGCTAATGAATACAGTCTACGAGTATGTGGTTCACTGCCCTAGAAGAACCACATCTATGGAGTAGGTAACCGTGCGAAAATTCGCAGTGACCCATTTTGAGGCGGTACAGAATTAGGTGGGGGCCAATCACTATCTTTCTTGACAATGTCCTTCATGTTTTGTCATATGCCAAATTTTATTAATTTGGTTAGACTTTATTATGTTTATGTCAATAGAATATTTAAATGTACCTATTCTGTAGCGTTTTTTTAATTCCAAGATCTAAAGTAACATTGTTAATTAATAGCAATAAGTTAATAAGTAACTGCAAGACTCTTGAACAAGACCAAGTCCAAGACTCATCTTGGTATTCCATTGGGGCAACACTATATAAGAATCATCCAACATTAGAGGAGATTGGTGTAAAATTGATAACATATCTTGATTTTTCTGATATACTTGAAAATATCAATTTTTACTTTTTCTTACTTACATAACTAATTCATAGTAACGGAAAGTATTGTGATCGTGAAAACTTTTGAAACTGAGTTTCCAACGGAAATACACGTTTTGAAGGTCACCTGAGTCCAAATAACCAAGTCCCGCAAAATGGTCTGTGTGAATGTGAACAGTCCAACTCAAAAATGAAAAGTCGTACGTAACTGAAATTAAGTATTTAAGATAGGTATATGACTGAGATGTTACAGCATCTTTTTGTAAACAATTTATCACTGTTAATAAACTAATAATTAATTAATAAACTAAAAAATTAGACCTTTATAATTCAATTTATTTTCTCATAAGCAAATAATAAATTTGCACCTTTCGAGCCTATTGACTAATTTTCAAGTTCTATTTTTTTTTCTTTATTTGTAACTTTTTTTTATATATTACTTGTTTATTGATGAATATTCCAATCTGTCTCAATAAGGGACACTTATTATTGATTCAGAGAGCACAGTCACACCATATTTACAAAATCAAATAATCAGTAAGGTAATTTCAAAATAATGTACAGCGAAGTAAGAAAAAATATAATATCATAATGAGGGAAGAAAACATAAATAATATTAAGAATAAAATAAAAATAAATAAATAAAATAGAATTAAAATATTAAAAAGTAATAAAAATACACATATTTACATGTAACTTATTGAACTTATCATTATTGAATTTCCGTAGCTCAAAATCAATATTAAATTTTTGCTAATAATATATATCTTATTATTTTTATGTTCTGTATTACTCAGGAGGATAATATTTTATGTAATTACCAACTATAATATACTCACGCTACTTTTTAATCAATAAATACAGGGTGTTATATAAAATATAAACCATATTTGATGACTTCCGTTGGTGTGGAAACAAACTTGCCTCGATAAAAGTATTGTTACAAATATTCAGCCTTCAAAACACCGAGCCCATAGCTGACGGATTAGGTGAGAGGTGTCTGGATTAACTTACAAAATTTAATATGATCTCATATCCTCTCTGTAATCATTGATTAAACAAATAATTATGTCTTGAAATTTTTATTACGAATCTGGCCAGCATAAATGGGCTAGCTCCATACTATAAAGAAACTATTAAGGATTGCCTAAACTTATCTGTTGATGCAAGCGCCTGAGGAAATTTTCTTTTCCAGATTATGAGGGGCAATGATATTTAAATGTAAAATACATTGCAATAATTGACAACCTTTAATGTGATATGTCAGGAATTAATTCATCTATTCGTAGATAAAAAAGAAATATGCATACGAGAAAGAAGCGTTTTCACAACAGAAGTAATCTTTGGTTTGAAAGGAGGGTCTTAATTCATCTTTTTTTTTTTTTTTTTTTTGAGTCTATGATTAATATTTAATCCTTATTATTTTTCTGTTTATTTTATATTTTATGTATACATATAGTGTGTAGGTAGTCTTACCTCACTATAACAATTACCCATTTGACAGAATGTTACATTGCATATAAATATATAAAATTCATCTATTGAGATCGAGCAATTTAATTTTATGAAATGTAACTAAGTGTCCTTTGTGATAAAACCAATACAATAAATATATTACAACAAAATAAAAAAAAATGTAATAAATTAAATAATACTTTAAGTTAAATATAATATATTATAATGAAGGTTCTAATTATTAAAAAGGTACACCTGAGAAAGGCACGCAACAATATTCCACCAAGTAGTAGGAAGAGGGAGAATATTTGGCATATAAAAGAGTGGAATAGGAAGCGTAGTGCCTATTCGAATTTGTTCAGCAAAATCGCCAACATGTACAAGGTGCTTGTTTAATTCAAAGATATTTTAAAAAAAATACAATATTAATCTTATACAATTCTTAATATTTGGCATTTGTTTACAGGCAGGGTTAGTTTTTTGTCTGGTAGGAGCAGCCTTCGCCCAGTATGGACACCATGAGCACCACGAAAAGAAGCACGAAGAGCACATCGTAGACTATTATGTAATATTTATATTTATGATCAGAAAACTATAACCTTAAAATAATGCAACTTAAGACATAAGATAGCTAGAAAATTATTAATTGTTTTTGTTTATATTTTAAGTTTTATTAAATATTAAATATGCATTTTTCAGGCCCACCCAAAGTACAAGTTCGACTACGGAGTACACGACTCACACACCCACGATGTGAAGAAGCAGGAAGAGACCAGGGAAGGAGATGTGGTCAAGGGATACTACTCTCTCTACGAACCCGATGGTACCGAGAGGATCGTCCACTACACCGCAAACAAGAAGAACGGTTTCAACGCCGTCGTAGAGAGGAAAGGACACGCTGTGCATCCTCATGTAGAGGGATCTAAAGAGACCTTCTTCAAGCACCATCACGAACACCATGGACACTCTGAGAGTTCTGGTGGGTATCACCACGGTTCTGCCTCATCGTCTTCCTCACACTCAAGTCATCATTACTAGTTTTTATAAATTCATAAATGTAAATAATTTGTTTTTTATACTTTTATAAAAAAATATATATTTTCAAAATATAAATCTTAATATTTCATTGACAGAACCTAATGAGGGATATCAGTATTCGGAAGGAAACAACTTTTCTAGCTGTTCTTTGTTCCAAATTTCATAATGAAAACATTAAATGAAAGCTCATTTGAAAAGCCATTTATGTTTTATACATAGTTGATAATTTAAAAATATATCTTAATTGCACTTTCTTATTGAAGTTTAGACATATTTAATATGAAGCTTTATTAATATTATGCGTTTATAGAATAACTGATATTTAATATGGAAGGTATGAGGACACGGTAATGGAAATACGAAAATATATAAATATTTCTTTTAAATGTTTAACAGGTTAGACATCACCAAAATTTTCAATAAAAACGGAAGTTTATTTTCAATAAAATAAGAAAGATGTAGGCTACAGGACCTAAAATATATCATCAACAGTCCGGTTTTACTTCATTTCGGTTCTCAAACTGGAATTATAACTTTATAACTAGTACAATAATTAAAGATAGTGAATAGTTTTATCTATATAATAAAAACAATTTTTTTTTCATTATTTACTCTAAAGGATCGTTGATATCATGTTGTTTATTTTTCCTTATATTTTTTTTTCAATAGACCGACAATTTTCAGAAATTAATAATTTTTTCGATGTATTTTAAGAGCTCTTAAACGTTATATTTGCACGTAATTCTTTATGGAAAAAAAAGCTAATGATACGTGAATAAGCAAATATTTGTACTGCAATATAATTTATTTATAGTAGTACCAAAAGGCTGAAAGAAACTTGATATTGTTGGCAAACGTATAACAATTTTTCGGTAAAGCTTTATTTTAGCAGCTCCAACATGGATGGAAGCCTCCGCAACCCATTACATCTGCCAATAAACCTCATTGTTTTTCAAACTTAAAAAAATCTATTAATTAAAAACTGTCATAGAGTATTTTAATAGTAAAACTTCACAAGTTAATGGAAATATATTGGGAAAAAATATGGTATCAGAATGAGACTTTTCTATTAATAATAAAATAGGAGAAAAGCTTGATAACAATAAAATTTATTTTATATCAATCTTCTAATATAAAAAAAAACTGCCCTTAATTGAGGCAAAATGTTTTTCTCTGAATAAAATATTATCAGTAAAAAAAAAATATATATATATATTAAAGCAGTTTTTTGGATAAAATATATAACAAAATTAAGTTTGCGACAAAACATAAAATCCACTTATTTGCATCTAACTTTTACTCGAGTTTATTCAAAATATGTCCAATGTGAAATAGTCTCCTGCATTCATATTCTGTTGGATGTTTTAGGAATGAGAGACTAGGTTAAGCGGTATGGTATACCTGTAGCGCCTGCTGAGACTTTTCCTGGGATAAAAATTGAAATTCCGTTTTTAAATTCTAAATCGATATTATTAAAAATCAACCAAATCATTATGAGGAATAGCAATCATTAATTATAATTATACAGAATATGGAACATGTTGAAGCAACTTTATTTGAGTGATAACATGCATATATTATATAAATGTATCATATGACATGAATGACACAAATTGTATATATTTTTATTTACGTCATATATTAATTTTCTTCCACTAAAAAAACGTTAAATATCAAATGAAAATTAAAAAAAAAAAAGATGTATACTTTTACATAACCATATACAACATCCAAAAAAAAAAATGTATAATTTTAAAGTGATTCGAAAATCTTATTTTACCACTCCTCGTTACTTTTTCCCAGCCTCTTTTTGGTGAAGTATGTTATATAGATAAATTTAAAAGGCTCCGAAAGAGAAAACTTTAACCACGTTTAGACGCTACACAAAAAGAGTAAAATAAACAGTAAAATAGGCGGTACTAAACTCTACACGGGAGAGGATTTTCGGCCAATACTTCTCAGTGAAGTATGGTATATAGATAAATTAAAAAGGCTTCCAGGAGAACACTTTGCCCAAGTTTCATTGAAATCAGAACATCCTTGCAAGCTCTGCAGTCTATAGCGACACAGGTTTTTTCTCCACCATCTTGATAGGAAAGGGCAGATGGTAATGCGTAATTCCCAGGATCCTCATCGGGAGCCTTTGACATTGATAACATATCTCAAAACAACCGGTCCAGTAATATAGGAAAAAAAACTGCGGATAGCGTACGTCGAAGAATGGACTTTTTAAATTTGATTTTGGTATTCTACGAATCTTGAAACCCTCAAATTTTAAGGAAGGATTAACTTTTTTTTTTTCTTGGTCAATTATAAAGGTTGATTATTTAAAATAAACCCAAACAGCTGAAAAACTTGCATATATACGCTATATATGTAATATGTAATGTTCTATATATATATATATATATATATTCATTTTTTCAATCAAATGAGGAATCCATGTCTAAAATGAGGAGGTAAAAAAAAGAAAAATAATAATTGTATAAACAAGATTTAGATATATTTGTTTTCATTATCATATGAGCAGATGCATTGGCTTCAATAAAGTGTTAGAATTATATTGTCATTTTATTTCTCTGTATCACATTTACTGGATGTATATTTATTTCTGTACAGTTATGAATTTCATAAAGAATAATAAAAAAAAAATTACTTAATGTGTTGACATTAAGAAAAGAAATAGACGAAATCTTATCTTTAAGTTCACCGACACTTAGCATCAGTCACTAGCCCATTTATCATTAAAATGGCAAAACATATTACTCATAGCTGCTAACTGACAAATGTGTATTTGTCAATTAAAAAAAAAAAAAAAAAGAATCATTATTATTTATTTCTCATTTGTAAATGTAAATCAAATAAAAATATATAAATGGTAAAAGTATAAAACAGAAATATAATGAAGTTAAAATATTAAAAAAAAAACATAACAATAAAAGAAACAAAGAAAAAAAAAATAAGATCTTTGATTATACTGTATAAATATTTGTAGTTAATGGAACTCTCGATAATTGACAAATGTTTATTATTCAAAAGTTATTTTAAAAAAAGGAAGTTTAATGGAAAAAAAATTAAGAAAATAAAAAAAAAATGATATAAAGATTTATTGAGACGAAAATATTATTTACTACGGATTAGGAATTCATAATTATATTTAAATGTTATTTTTTATTACTATGGGTCCTTTTCTGTTTTATTTGACGTAATACATTAATACATATCGCTGCACTAAGCGCAAAAGGATCATAAGGTAACATTTTGTATAGTCTGTAACTACTATAACTAATATGCTAAATAAAAAAAATAGCAGAGACAGATAAAATATGAAATTATACTCAAAATCATAAAGAAATGATAAATAAAAAATTTAAAAAACAACTAAATTTTTACATTGAAACTTTTGCACTAAAAGTAGCGATATTGTTGATATTTATGAGGATTTTGAAAAAAAATAAAAGTAGAGATATTGTTAATATTTATGAGGCTTTTGAAAAAAAAAAAATGTTAAACTTGCTAGCTTGTCCCTGCGTTCAAAACAACAGTAAGATTTTTTTTTTGGTAGAGGGAAGATTATTTATTTTTATTATTTTACCAATCTTAAGCATCTCATGGCTCTAAAGACTTTCATTATTAAAGAAACAAAAAATTAACAACACTAGTGAGATAATGTTTCACTGACATGTTTATTGCAAAATAAATAATTTGAGAGAAATTAATTATTACAAGACAATACAAATATATATATATATATATATATATATATATATGATATCCAGAAAAAACCTAAACTTAAATTAAAAAAGTACTATTTATAATCAGGTAAAATCAGATTATTACATTATTACATATCGCTAAAGTAAGTGCAAAAGGTCTTGTGTAACGTTTATATGTTTATTCTTTTTGAGCTATAGGTAACATTTTATAGTCTGTAAGTACTATAAGTAATATGCTAAATAGAAAAATAGCGGAGGTAGATAAAATATGAAATTATACTAAAAAAATATAAATATGAAAGGTTTTAATTCATTAATTCGAAGACAATGCAAAAAAAAAAAGAATTATGATATTCAGAAAAAAAAACTAAATAAAAAAGTACTATTTATAATAAGATAAAATCAGATCAGAATTAATATAATTGTGATAAAGATTCGAAACTTGATATATTTTTATAAAAAAAAAATAATGATAACTAAATGTAATACAGAAAAAATCAGTCCCGATGTTACTCAACCCCAAATTAAACAGCGTTTCCGGAAACATTTCTTAATTAGCTGAGAGTCGGAGTTAGGTGGGAGAATGTAACAATATATAAGCCGTTATAAGCGGGACTGCATAGCACACTCGACAAAGAACAGTGAACCATTCAACATGTACAAGGTACGAAACCTGATTTATCCTCGATAATAATATTAGTCTTTCACATTGGTATTTCTATGTATCTCATCTCATGAATTCGGTTTTTTAGGCAGTGTTAGTTCTGTGCCTGGCAGGAGCAGCCTTCGCCCAGTATGGACACCATGAGCACCACGACCATCACGAAAAGAAACACGAAGAGCACATCGTAGACTATTATGTAAGCTCATCCATTTATCCATATTTACAACTGCATATTTTTATCACGAACAAGTAAATGACGAAATCGCTATGTATTAGGCCCACCCAAAATACAAATTCGACTACGGAGTACACGACTCCCACACCCACGACGTGAAGAAGCAGGAAGAGACCAGGGAAGGAGACGTGGTCAAGGGCTACTACTCCCTCTACGAACCCGATGGTACCGAGAGGATCGTCCACTACACCGCAGACAAGAAGAACGGTTTCAACGCAGTCGTAGAGAGGAAAGGACACGCTGTACATCCTCATGTAAAAGGATCTACTGAGACGTTCTTCAAGCACCACCAAGAACACCACGATCATCACTATTAATCTTAAGCATAAATATATAGTATTGTCATGTAAATATTTTTTTTTATAAAAAATAAATTAACTAAACAAAAAAAATAATTGTGTCCTCTTCATTCATATCTAAACACATACTTCTGATCGCTGTACTGAAAACCCTCCCATGTTTATTTGAATTTTTAATAATTACTACATATCTTGAAGTAAGGATCTAACGAGATAAAGAAAATGAAAATATTTACACTTTACGACAGTCTAAATAAGTTTTAATGGGGAGAGTAAATATTGTAAATGAATAAGGTATATATGACATGATTAAAAATGAGGATATAGGAAAATCTAAAGGATCTTCCAAAAAAATATTAGTGCTTTTGAGGCTGTGCGGTTATGAATTGGTATAACAGTCTTTGTTGTCAACATAACTCCGGACTTTGGATCAGTATGTAGGTAGTCGTGCATGTAAGATAATCTATCATAGTAACCATGATAAATATAAATAAATAATTTTAACGAAATAAACACGAAGAGAATCCATTGTTTTCTTTTGTATCTGCACAAATACTGCATCAATAGAGTATTGATATATGCAAGAAAGCAATAATCATCATTATTAATTACATATTATTTTAATTGTAAATAACAATATGTAATTAATTAATGTTAAAGTTAAAGTGAATCCGTTATTAACTGTCTATACCAAAAAATAGTAAAATGTTGGTAAAGATAATATTCAGTTAACTACAGTCAATTTCAATCAAAAAAGTTGGTGTTTCAGTAATTGATTTTTATGTATTTCAGGTTATCGAGGTATTATTTAATATTACTATATATTTTTTTAACGGCCTTGTCTTTTTCTTCTAGTTTCTTTTATTAGTATCTTGGATAATTTTAAGTTTCTCACATAAAGTGATCTATTTTAATTTCTGTCGAATGTCTGAATACAAATTTGAAACAAATTAGTTTTACGAACGAGTTGCGATAATGACTGGCGTAATTAAGTTAAACCAAATTAATTGATTATTATTCCAAGCTCTCTTCTATAATATGATATTTATAGAAAAAAAAATGCTAAAAAACATGTATAATGCATTGCCACATTTTTATTTGCAATAAGAAGTATATGAAGAATTAATTTATACGATTAAATTATTTATTTATGATAATTCGCGCTTTTCAAACATTTACTCCTTTTTAGTTAGCTATTACAAATCTCAGATTTCAATTTAATGTTAATCCTGTTTCTTTTCTTTAAAAGATAGAATACATGAGGTTCAAAATATCTAAATATGTTTTATTGATATTTCAATATAATCTAGGTAGCGATACTGTGAGAATCGATATTATTGTTCGATTTTTACAACTCAACTCTTTTCAAAAAACAAGTGCATTTTTCCGAAATATTAATATTTCGATATAATTAATAAATATAGATACAATAATACCTACATATCGATTTTTATTCCAATCAATATAAATAAAAAACTAATCCAAGAACACTATTTACGTTAAAATATAAAAAAAATAAATTACACTTATTAGTATTAATTTTTGAACATTATTTCTAAAAGATGTTTATTAACAACTTTTTTTTTATATTTATAGAATTTGAATGTATTTCGTGGAAAAAAAAATACTACTTGCTTTATAGTAATATTATCCTAAAAAGTTCTTATGGGGCTATTTAAATGTAAATCTGATTACAGCTGCGATAGGAACAAAATTCTATAAATAAGCAGGCCTCTGAAAAAACATTAAAAAAAAAAAACAACTTTAAGAATTAAAATTCATTTTTAAAAGATTGAAGTCACAGATATCTATAAAAGAAGGTTTTCATGTTTATAAAATAATTGAAGTGGTTTATTTAAAAAAACTTTTTAACAAATATTAGCAACAAATCCAACCTGTTAATAAATTTACAAAGTATTGATAATGAATAAACGAAAACTGGTGAACAATAAAATCCTGGTGTCGAATAATTATTATGCATGACTATTTAAATTAACTTGAAATTTATGGGTTGAAAAAATCCGAGATGAGTTCAAATTGTATCAACGAAATTATAAGGTATTATAGAAACAAAGATAGTAATTCGAAAACAACTGAAAAACTAAAATGACTTTTAGAAAAGAATCTAGACATCTTTGTTTTTTTGTTTTTTCCATCCTTGCCTTTTACTATAAGGAGATTTTCTCGGACCAGGGGAGAGAAGGGTGTATTAAATTGTCCAGAGTTAACAGCCCCCTTCCCTAATTCATAATTAGGGGCCCCGGCATCGGGACGCAAATTCATAATTATTTTATATCTACTAAACTTCGGTTTATTATGTGGTCGTTTGACTGGCAACGCATGTTTTTCACACGCGTAAACCCACTTGGTCACCATGCCTCCTATGTGGACACCTTAACAAGCAACTTATAGCTCTGATCTTGATTTAATCTTAAAGTAGAACATTGGAAAAATTGATGACCGATTTGTCTAAATATAAATAATAATAAAATCACGAATATAGCTTCCTCTATTCTATTTTAAAAAACGAATATTGATAATTGTAAATATTTTTTATTCTCTTTTTATTACTTCAAAACATAAGTTAATAACAATAAATTATTTTTGCTAAAGAGTTTGAAAGTATATGTTTTGATGGAATAGAGATGAATCGGACACCATTGATAGTTTTTTGGTTTATTTATTTATTTATAAAATAATTATTTACATATTAAATATGACGTGTCTAAAATTAGTAGTGATGATCGTGGTGCTCGTGGTGATGCTTGAAGAATGTCTCAGTCGATCCTTTTACATGAGGGTGGACAGCGTGTCCTTTCCTCTCTACGACGGCGTTGAAACCGTTCTTCTTGTCTGCGGTGTAGTGGACGATCCTCTCGGTACCATCGGGTTCGTAGAGGGAGTAGTAGCCCTTGACCACGTCTCCTTCCCTGGTCTCTTCCTGCTTCTTCACGTCGTGGGTGTGGGAGTCGTGTACTCCGTAGTCGAATTTGTATTTTGGGTGGGCCTAAGAGATTATAATTTTATAATATACGCTATTGATACATTGATACGGATATTTTAGTGTACAGATGGATGTACTCAGACTTACATAATAGTCTACGATGTGCTCTTCGTGCTTCTTTTCGTGATGGTCGTGGTGCTCATGGTGACCGTACTGGGCGAAGGCTGCTCCTACCAGGCACAGAACTAACGCTGCCTAAAATTTCACCAAACTTGTTAAAATCATAAGCGGGATAAATATAATGGGTTGTCAAAATTGTTAAATCATGATAGTACCTTGTACATGTTGATTGGTGGACTGTTCTTTTTCGAATGAGATAATAGTCTCTCTTTCACCAGAGTTTATATATTGTTACTTTCCCCTTCCAGATCTTTCTAATATACTTTGGTAATACATCTCCATTACAATTTTCTGGTTTAATTAAGTTCCGCCAACCATATTTATTATTGATAATAGTTGATTATAATAGATTTTTTTTACTCAATAAAATAGTACATTAAGGCTTCCGCATCTATACACGTATAAAACGAAAACTTATTGTAAAGTTGATTTAAAATTATGACTAAAATCTTAATCTTTATATTTCAGTTATAAGAATATTCATCTTCAGAAATATCTAAAATATTAATTGTTATTGCATATACATACAAAAATATAGATTTGAAATGTAGTTTTGACACACAATACTTATTGTAAATATACATTATAATTATTTATTTGTTTTAATATATATTATTATCATTTTTTTAAACATATTTATTGAGTGAAATTACAATCTGTCACAAATAAGGACATTTAAAATATTGTTCAGAGAACACATTCACACTCTATCAATTATTATCATTAGATTTTTTTTCCAGAACATCCCAAAATAAAAGCGTATGATCTATCGGTTCAATATTAATTGAGAAAGAGATATTTTAAAATATTAAATCATTGGACATGAGAAGATTCAAGATTTTGTATTGTAATCTTCTAAAGAATCACCTGATTGTAACATGTATAGTTTTAATGTCTCTAATTTTAGTTTATTCTCATTTTATGTATTTTTATTTAACATTATTTTTTTTAGTTTATTTTTTATTCCGTTTGCTTTACAATATAATTTCTAAAATAAATTTCAACCAACATGGGATTTTTTTTCTATTTTATTATTATTTTAGTTACCTTCTTATTAGCTTATCAGCTTAATTATTGTATTCAATAAATCAACAATTAAGTTTTCATAAATAATTTATTTCACGGTTAGCTAAGAGAAAATTTAAATAATTAAGGCTTTTAATTAATTTAGTATTTAGACATCTTCTAAAATGAAGAACAGTAATATTGTATATATTTATATACAAGAGGATTCGTAATTAATGAAAAATATTTAAAGAGGTGAAAATAGACCTCAATAGCTATACAAACTTTTATATACACGTTGGTCTGAATTCCGTGCAAAATTTATGTTTGTGTTTGTGTTTTTTTTTTTAAAGTAAGTCACATTGTTTCATGAATAGAAGACAATAATATAAAAAAAATCTAATTTATATAATTATCAGTTCCAGTTAAGATAATTAGAAAAATCTCTAATTACTATTACAATATATTTTTGTTAAAACTATAATAAGGGGGCTTTTAACATAATGTCACGTTTTATGCATAATGTGCCTCCTCGAAGTACCAGAGCTTTCAACAAAAATAACAACTACTATGTATGTGCATACAGACGGCGGGGTGGCCGAGCGGGCTAACCCATGCGAAAAACATGAGTGGTTCAAAGTAATGGAATAAACTTTAGGAGTTCGATTGTAACTCTAGTATTAATTACCCGACCTCACTCCTAATCCGAGAAAAATCTCGTATAGTCTAAAAGATGATCGAGGGGAGAAAACAAATATAAATCTATAGGAAATTTTATTTTATTATTTCGTCATTTAAAACGTTTTATTATTTATATAATTGGATTAATGATAAGTTAGTCAATATAAATGGAGTTATTGATAATATGATAACGATTTCCGAAATTCCAATGGTCCTATGATTGTTTTGTAATAAACCAGAACTAGCATTGTTGACAAATCAAAAGCTTTCATTCAAGTTCCGAATTCGTAGGAGTTGAAAAAAGTGAGAGTTGTCGACGTAGTAGGTTGACTAAATGTAAAAATGTGATGTCACATCCTACATGTAACGAGGGCAATTAATAGAAATATCTTGGCTAGGAGCACTTGGTCGAAACGTGTCAATCATTTGAATCCTAATTTATTCATTCCGATACCAATTATCATGCTCTTACATGCCGAAATTATCGACATGCCATGAAGTTGATGAATCACGCTTCATAGAGAACGATTCTGAAACGACTTTTATTGAGTAAAGTTCCTGTTAATCTAATAATTTAACGTTCGATTGAACTGAGGCTTTGAGTTTTATTTCGTTCAGATATTAACAAGATTAAAAACATATAAATAAAATATAAATATAAAAGTATTATTTAAAAAAAAAAATAACTTAAGCCAAACCACTCAATTACAATCAAATACATGTCCACTCATAAAAACAGTACATCTATTTGGATGTCACAGAGCACTGTGGTCTAGATTTTTTTTCTGTCTGATGATACCTGAATTAGTGAAACATCGGCAAATTATTTTTTCTTTACCTGCTTTTTTTAGATAAAATTTGTGTGGTTGAAATTTTCAAATTAAAATCCATTTCCTATGTTTTGGAAAATTTTTACTCGTCTACACTAATTTTTTCTGTTTTTTAAATTAAAAAAATATAAAGCATCATAGATTTTATTTATGTCAATTCGTTTTATTTCTTTTATTTTTGATTTTAAACAACAATAAAAAGTTTCAGAATATCTTTCTTTAAACAAATACATCGGAAACATAATTATAAATGACGAATACATATTTTTCAAAGAACGTTTATTGATTAAAAAATATATTTCAGATTACAGAGTACTGTTCCTGTCTCATCATACCAATAGTATTGAGGCTCTAATGTATGATTAAAAAAAATATATAATTCGACTGATAATTCAAGGAAATATCGACTATACTGTGATTCATCTAAATTAATTATATTTTGTTATCGCATTCTATTAATCAAATAACGTGAATTAATTTTAAAATAAAAATAAAACACCAATATTAATTTTCTATTTTTATGCATGTAATTGGATCATCGTGTATTTTTAACTTAGTTGTAGCTCTTGTGATTTACTGTCTTCTCATTTTGTAATATTTACAGGGACTCCAGTATCTAACTATATGTATTATTGCTTTTCCGTTCCGATAATGTTAAAAAATGATAAACTAATTACGAGGCCCCACTGCATTTTAGAGTGCGCTGCTTAAAATTTCTCTGACAAGATGAATTTCAGCACATTTAATGATTGCAAAATACATACGGATTGTTCTAGAGTGGGCACCAATGATTGATCATTAAAAAGTCTATTCTGGAGGACATTATATTAAACCAATAATAGTTATCAGTGTTAATAAAAAAAATTAATGTTATTTATAAAATAAACAAGAGTTCCCTCAAAATTAATAAGAAGCAAATTATAATTATAACGTAAACAAACAATTTATCATCTTAAATTAATTATGTCAAACCAGCAAGAAAAAAACATGGAAATAATAGAATAACTATTCTTAGTTAAGTAATCAATATATCATCAAACAATTAATAAAGCTAGATGGAATAATTTTTTAAAAATTTTAATACATAAAAACAACAAAACTAAGATTCAAGACAAATATTATGTCTAACTAATTTTCTGAAAGATCCTAAAAAAAAAAGCCGTTTCAAGCCAAAATTAATTATTGGCATATTTTTATATTAAAACTAATGGTGAAAAGAAATATTAAAATATTTATAATGTACAATTGTAATAATTATTTGTATCTAAAGTATTATTAAAATACATATTTCTGAGTCCTAACATAATTTTGATATTAACCAAATAGTCCTGAAAAAATATTCTTCTAAAATATATAATGAATTCGATTTTAATAATTACTACAGAGTAAACACAAATTCATAAATCTTTTTATGCATCTTTAGAAGCGCAAGGTATAATGCAGTATTTTAGTCAATAACCAAAAATATTTATACTATTATAAATGATATACATGATTGGTAGAACGTAATTTAACCAGGAAATTCTAATGGAAGTGTATTACTAAAGTATGTTACAGATATAGAAGGGGAAAGTAACAATATATAAACTCTGGAGTATGAGCAACTATTATGACATTCGAAAAAGAACGGTCAACCAGTCAACATGTACAAGGTGCTTACAGGAATTAACAGTCCATTATATGTATATGACGTATAAGTCAATAATATATTAACAAGTTTGGTGTAATTTCAGGCAGTGTTAGTTCTTTGTCTGGTAGGCGCAGCCTTCGCCCAGTATGGACACCATGAGCATCAGGAACATCATGAAAAGAAACACGAAGAGCACATCGTAGACTATTATGTGAGTTTGATTCATCCATCTGTATACTAAAATATTTGTATCAATGTATTACAGATCATAAAAAATAAAATTATAATCCCTTAGGCCCACCCAAAATACAAATTCGACTACGGAGTACACGACTCCCACACCCACGACGTGAAGAAGCAAGAGGAGTCTAGAGATGGTGACGTGGTCAAGGGCTTCTACACCCTCCACGAACCCGATGGTACCGAGAGGATCGTCCACTACACCGCAGACAAGAAGAACGGTTTCAACGCCGTCGTAGAGAGGAAAGGACACGCTGTACATCCTCATGTAAAAGGATCTACTGAGACCTTCTTCAAGCACCACCACGATCATCACTATTAATCTTAAGCATAAATATATAGTATTGTCATGTAAATATTTTTTTATAAAAAATAAATTAACTAAACAAAAAATATAATTGTGTCCTATTCATTCATATCTAAACACATACTTCTGATCGCTGTACTGAAAACCCTCCCTTTTTTATTTGAATTTTTTAATAATTACTATATATCTTGAAGTAAGGATCAAACGAGATAAAGAAAATGAAAATATTTACACTTTACGACAGTCTAAAAAAGTTTTAATGGGGAGAGTAAATATTGTAAATGAATAAGGTATATATGACATGATCAAAAATGAGGATATAGGCAAATCTAAAGGATCTTCCAAAAAAATATTAGTGCTTTTGAGGCTGTGCGGTTATGAATTGGTATAACAGTCTTTGTTGTCAACATAACTCCAGACTTTGGATCAGTATGTAGGTAGTCGTGCATGTAAGATAATCTATCATAGTAACCATGATAAATATAAATACAAATATAAACGAGACCTTCTTCAAGCATCACCACGATCACCATCAACATCACTACTAATTTTAAGCATGAATGTAATATAAAAATGTAAATAATTATTTTATAAATAAAAAAAATACCATAACATGAACAGAGATTTATAAAATACACCTTATTCTTCTAAATTTCTTTTGGAACATTTTTTAACTTTTAAATGATTTCATATAAATATCAAAACTATCGAGCACAGATAATTTCTTTTGAAGCTATAAACAAAATTAATGACAATTAATTTTAAATAAGAACATAAACGTGCTTAAACCATAAATTTTACAAAACACTATTATACAGACCCCTTTTTATCATCGATACCTGATTTTAAACATATGAATAAGTACTGTCTTAAATATGAGAACAACTTATTCTTAATATATTAACAAAAAAGATCGATGCGTCGGATTCCTCTTCGTCAAATCAAAACTTGCTGCCATAACATTCAAATAAAAATATTTCCTTTTTCATTTCTGATTGAAAAGAGTGTTGAACACTTAGAAGTATTTAACACGAGAAGTAGAACAAATAGTACACGAGAAAGGAAATGTGCTATTTACAAGTAACATCACTCCGTAGAGTGAGTATTGTTCATATAAAACAAGCACGATTAAAAAATAATATTACATTATTTATTAATATAATATATGACAAGTATTTATAAAGACAATACAAATTATAATCAAATATCTAATCTAATCATAATAATCAATCAAGAGAATATACATATTTCCAATTGAGTGAAAATCCAGTTTTATTAATTTGGACGTGATTGTTGGAACGTTTTAATGACGACAGTTGTGTTGAACGTACAATAAATATTTTACTAATTTGTGGTCTGAGAAGTGTTTTGATGCAAATAATATTTTTACTATTGTTTCCACATTTGACTAGTAATAAAATAGAAAACAATTATATTAACGGGTGATTCACAAAATAGGAGACATTCAAATATTTTTTTAAATCGTCCTAAAAGAATTAAACACACAAATAAGTAATAAATAGACAATTTTAAGGATTAGCAGCCTAAAACAATAAAATAAAGAAGAATTAAATTTACACATGACACATTGCTAACTAATAATGAATTTCTAACTATTCTCTTACATATACATCCAACATGTATAAACACCTTAGGAGCAGAATTTAAAAGCAATTCTAGCATTCGATAAAGAAATATAATCGGAACGACTTTTCCAATAGCTAGTTTATTCTTTATTTTTCTCCAATCGCCTATTACCTGTCTGTCAAGACTCAGAATTACGTCGCACAAACATATTTAAACATACAATTATCAATCAAGTGAAACACACTTAATCATAGTCGAACTTTATAACACTGAAAAGCAACCTAAATAACATATCAATCAAACAGCAGAATTGTGATATTGGAAAATTTCAAGCGAAATTTTATTTAGTAAAAATATTTATTCATATTTTTTAATTGTCTTGATTTCAGTTATATTCAAACAATAAAATTAGATGGTTATATTTATACCGGACTATACTATTTACAGTAATTTTATAAAATTTATTGATAATTATTTGGGAAGAAGTGAAAGAAAGGATGTCAAAATTAAGTTTCTAATTTCCTCTTAGGAAAAGTTATTGTTCTGACTCCAAGAATTTCTTATAAACAATGCACAATAAGAACTTATGAAGACACAATAAATTTAAATAGCAATCTTATTGTTACAATAAAATACACTTTAAATTACAATATAAGGTAGTTGAGAACAGGTGTAATCCATGGACAGCATGCCATACTTTGGAATGATTAGGCATAAGGGCGGACATAGTTTTTAAATTTTTCGTTCTTGCTCTTTTATTCAAAATAACATTTTCAAACTATCCTTCTGGAATGAAAGGATATTTTAGACTCGAATAGTTTGATATAGATAACAAAATTACTATCTAGACATACACATTTTATAGTATAGATAATAGGATAATTTGGGGTAAGGTAACATATTTATCTTTTTATTAAGAGTTTCCACTAGTAGTGAGTTTCCTTAACCTCGAGTGCTTGGATGGCTTCTTTCCATAATGTCCTATCTAAGGTCCATTCTTCCCGTAGACCATGACCCATCATGGATTCCTCCACTTCGTTATGCCAAGTCTTCCTCGTACTCTTCTTTCCCTAGTTTTCCACACAGACGGATCTACGAGGGGAAGAGGGGGGAAGCTTTCGGGCCGAAGACCCTATAATGGTAAAATGTAACCCTTTTTTATAGAAGAAAATATTAAAAATTATCTCTTAAACTATTATTGTTCGAATAATGGCATTTAATAGGACTTCAAGTATCACTTAAACACCATTTGATATTGGTAGTTATTTTTATTATTTTTTTTTACAATGTAATTATCGTTATATATATGAAAGAAAAACCTATCGGGCTGAATCCCCTCCCAAAATTAAATCCTGGATCCGCTAGTGTTTTTCATAAGTGGACTTCTTAGGGTAATCTTGCTTCAAGCATTCTTTTCAAATGTCCATACTACTTCAGGGTTTTTTTCTCAATTTCTTCCAGAATGGTTCTTTTAGCCTCCATCTATCCATCCAATCTGATGATCGTATTTCTCATTTTATCAATTCTGGATATTCCCGCGGTTCGTCTCGTCGGGTAACATACTTAATAATTGAATTTAATGCAAGAGCATACAGTCACTTACAGAGTCCCTTATCCTCATAGTTCTGTTATTTGTGGATATGAAACATATTTTACGGTTCCAAAACATGTATATTTATTTTCCATTTTTCAAACTAATAAGCATGAAAGTATTAGTAAACAAACGTTTTATCGCCGCTTGGCTGAATGTTCTTTGACAAAACGCCGCCAGGTTACTAGACGAACAATTTATTTTAATAAAAGCTAAAGAGTTTCACTCAAAATCCACTTTATTAAAAATATATGATTAATTTTTTGTAGTTACTTTACTTTCATAAAGGATTAAGTTAATCGTCGTTCATTTTAAATTAGAATTTTTCTTTAAACTGTAATTATTTCTGTTGCAGTAATTCTTAACACAAGCGAAAATAAGCATGATTATTGGAAATTAAACAAAAAAAGTGATTTTTGCATGTTATTTAAACAATTTTACAATTTTTTTTTACTGTCTCTACTTATGAATTATTACCTAGTATGTCCTGGATGTGACATTCGATATTTTGACTCAATCTTCCTTTTAAACCTATTTTTAAACGATAACATAAGTGTCCTTATTAGTGCTATAAAAAGACGTCTATTCTGATTTATTCATTAAATATCTTTTATTTCAATTGCAATATTATTGTCATGAAAACGTTATTTAGAAAAAAAAACACATATACGTTTACAGGTGCTAACGAAAAACTGTCAAAATCACATCCAGGAAGTATTTCCAAAGTAGATAAGAGTAGGATTTGGAAGGGGAAAGTAACAATATATAACAGCAGGTTAGAGGACGTACTATCACATTCGAAAAAGAACAGTCAACCAGTCAACATGTACAAGGTGATTATAGGAATTAAATATGACAGCCTACTGTATTTATATGACGTATAGTTTATTATCAATTTTATGTATTCGATTATTTAAACAATTATTATATACTTTCAGGCAGTGATAGTTCTGTGCTTGGTGGGGGCAGCCTTTGCCCAGTATGGACACCATGAGCACCACGACCATCACGAAAAGAAGCATGAAGAGCACATCGTAGATTACTACGTAAGTTTGATTGATACATATATACACCTGCATATTTGAAATATCATCGCAAATAACACAATTTTAATGCCTTAGGCTCACCCAAAATACAAGTTCGACTACGGAGTACACGACTCCCACACCCACGACGTGAAGAAGCAGGAAGAGACCAGGGAAGGAGACGTGGTCAAGGGCTACTACTCCCTCCACGAACCCGATGGTACCGAGAGGATCGTCCACTACACCGCAGACAAGAAGAACGGTTTCAACGCCGTCGTAGAGAGGAAAGGACACGCTGTCCATCCCCATGTAAAAGGATCTACTGAGACCTTCTTCAAACATCACCACGAACACCACGACCATCACTACTAATTTTAAGCAGAATAGGAGATTTTAATGTAAATAACTTTTTTATAAAAAAAATATATTATTTTAAAAATGATTAAATGTGTATAAATCATTCAACTATACCTTATTTTCCTGATTTTCTTTTTCATGTTTAGGTTATATTTCATCTGATTTATGTATTTGAATGTAAAAATTATATACTTTATAATGAAGGTTTGAACAATTTTAAATTTTAAAACTTAATTCATCATAAAAATAAGTAAAAAAAAACTGAGTTGGTTTAGGCATGTAACGTGAATGACCGACGACCGATTTCCTAAAAGAATACTTCAGTATGTACCATTGGAAAGGAGGAAGAGAGGTTGTCTGACAAAGAGATGGTTTGATTAGTGGAAGATTTACGTATGACTATACCAGCAAGGGCACTCCGGTAGGAAGACTTTTATGACAAAAATAAACGGTGCCAGAGATGAGGTTACGACATATGACCTTAAAATGTTATAAATAAATTCAGTAATTCTGAAATATGAGTGGTTAAAGTTTATCTTTTATATTTTATGTTTTGGAAATGTATATGGATGAGACGGAGTTTTTATGTTTATTAATTTAATTACCTTTAGATTATTTTATTTTTTACTGTACATAGTTGTTTGATTATTATTTAGTTATTACTTATTACTTTTCTTATATTTTATGTTTTCTGTATGTATGGTGTCAATATGTTCATATCTTACTATAATTATTGTCCACGTGACATATTACTATTTTTCTAAATAAAAAAACATAAAATGTTCTGGAAAAATATTTTTTATTTATTTTATTGATTTATTTATTTAAAAATATGTAAAATATGACTCCGCGATCTTCCAGCCCAAAACTTATATAGGAATTCCCTCAGTGTATTTCTCCACACGCCTCGATAATCGATTACCGTTAAAACGCCTCCCTCAGAAATCGTTTGAAACATTTTATTCATAAAAGATAATAATAACACATTTATTTAATCGAAAATACATTTACTAAGGTTGCAGTTTTGTGAATAATCCTCTGAAACAATACCCTCTCCTCTCCTCCAAAAAACAATAATTAGGAACAAATGGTACAAATGGATAAATTCAGAATAAATTAACTGAAACCTAATTAAACCTTTTAAATATAATATATTACGTAATTTCAAATTTATTAATTGATTATTTCGTATAAATATACATCTATTCTTTGTAGGCTTTCAAATTTGCAAAGTTGACAACAAAAAGTGCAAAATCTTCAAATAATTAAAAATTACAGTGGCTTTAGTTTTACTGAAACCGATAACTTATTATGTCACCATCACATAGAATAGAATAGAAAAAAAACTTTATTCTGGGACTAAGTCCCTTCAGAATAACAAAAATGTACAAAATAATAGAATATTACTGGCCTGAACATTGAAACAATAAATAAAATTGATAAAATAAAATAAAAAGTAAAGAAAACCTTAGGTGCACAAGCTATATACAAACAGGTAAAACTATGTACAGAGCATTTAAAATTACGAACAAAACAATTAAAACTATGAACGAATCACTTGAACTATGAACAAAATTATATTTAAGGGTTGAACAACATAAACATACACTTTGAGAAATGAAGAACGAGAAAGAGATACAATGAGTTCATTTCATAAAAAAAAAAAAAAACTTTTCTTGAATATATATATAAAAATAAACAGTTACTTATAATTGAATAAAAAAAAAAAAAAATATAAAAAAAATGTATGTATTGAAATTCCTACGTCGATAGTAGGAAATGCATGTACTATCTCTTACCAAGTGTTATGATTATATGATTGCTACACAATACATATATAATATCAATAGTTAGCTGGTATCAGACTGTTTTTGGAACAGGAATTGGAATAGGAGGTTTTTGAATGTATACAGGGAAGGGGAATGTCGAATTTTGATCGGGAGGGAATTCCAAAAGTTGACAGAGCGGGCTATAAAGGAATTTTGGAATGAGGCAGATCTATGAGAAGGGATGTATAGGTCAGAGGGTCGGGATCTTGTAGTGAGTGAATGGATTGAGGACTTAAATTGGAGAAGGTTGTAGGCATAAGAAGGACGATGATCGGTAATGATTTGATAAAGGAAAGTGCCAAGGAAATATTGTCTTCTTAAGGAGGGGAAGAGCCACCCTAACTCAGTGTAGTGGTGGGAGACACGGGAGCGTCTCGGGGTTCCAATTACAAATCTTACGAAGCAATTCATAAGTCTTTTGAGTCTATCACGCAGTTCCACCGAGAGGCCATCGTACACCACACAGCTGTAGTCAAAGTGGGGAAAGATGAGAGAGGAAACTATGAGTCTACGGGTATTTTGGGGTAGAAGATGGCGGAAGTGATGGAATAGTTTGAGGGTAGAAATTGCACGGCGGGATATATGAGAGATATGGTGATTCCAGGAAAGGGTTTGATCTATGAGAAAGCCTAAATTTTTAACAAAGGGATAGAAGGTGATGGGGTGGTTGTTTAGATAGAGTGAGGGAAAGTTGGTGTGGGATCTAAGAAGGGGCTTGGAACCAATGAGAATGGCCTGAGTTTTGGCAGCATTTAGCCTTAATCCATTTAAGTTGGCCCAAGCACTAATTCGATCTAAATCTTCTTGAATTTTGGCAAATGCCACCAATAACTCAGCGGGAGAAAAGGATAAATAGATTTGAGAATCGTCGGCATAAAGGTGGTGGGAACAATGGATAATTGAATCATTTAGGTCATTAATATTAATAAGAACTGAAAAGAAGAGGAGACATGCTTGAACCCTGTGCAACTCCTGAGGATAAAGGAAGGTAGGCAGATAGAGGTTGATTAGGTATGGAAACTGCTTGGGTTCGTTGTGAGAGGAAAGACTGGAACCAAGAGATGGAACTATTGGAGAAGGATAATGATTTTAGTTTGTTGAAAAGGATGGAATGGATAATGGAATCGAAAGCTTTGGAGAAATCAAGCAGTATAAGTATGGTTTGTTTTTTTGTCATCTATTGCAGTCTGGATATCACTAGTAATTTTAATCAGAGCAGATTGTGTAGAGTAGCCAGGACGGAAGCCAGATTGGAGAGGATCGAGTTGGTTGGATTGTTCAAGGTAGTTGGAAACTTGGGATTGCACTAACTTTTCTAGGGGTTTAGAAAGATTGGAAAGGATTGATATTGGGCGGAAATCTTCGGGAGAGGATGGATTAGGCTTTTTATTTAAAGGAAGGACAATGGCTTTTTTCCAAGAGGTCGGGAATATTGAATTCTGCAGGGAGAAATTGTAGATGAAAAGGAGTGCTGGGAGGATTTCAGGGAGACATAATTTTATTAGTTTGATAGGAATGCCATCTGGGCCTACGGAATTGGAACGGGATTTCATTATAACGGTAATAAGGTCTGTGGGAGAAATGTCGGAAAAATAAAAATTATTGTCGTTAAAAGGTACCTCTGGAGAAAAGCCGGAAGGGGATGGTAAAGAAGAGGTGGAAACCGATATAAAGTGGGAGTTTAGGTCATCAGGTGATATTGGGAAAACTGAGGAAGGGGATCTAGAAGGTTCACAGAGGGAAAGCTTACGAAGTAGAAGCCATTTTGATTTGATATCAGGAGCTGAGGAAAGGGCTTCGTGAAAGTAGTTCGCTTTCGCTTGTCGGATCCTTGTCTGTGTCGTGTTACGAAGCACTCTGAATATTTGATAATCATCTGCAAGCCTAGTCCGTCTGAAGCGTCTGCGTGCAGCGTCGCGTCCCTTCTGCAGATCCTTAATTTCATGACACATCCAAGGAGCAGGACGATGACGGAAAGTGGAGGTTTTCAGAGGAGCGTGGGTATTGAGTATATTGAGAAGATTGGTGGAGAGAATATCAACCATGGTGTCGATAGAGGAGCAATGATATATTCCATTCAAATCCAATGTTACTAGATCAGGTAATATTTTTTCTCGAGTAAGGCTATCCAGTTGGCGGAAAGTGATAGTTCGAGGATGGATTGGAGGAGTGCGGATATTATACGTTATTTGTATCAGATCATGAGATGAAAGAAAGGATACTGGCAATTGAGAGACGGAGAGGAGGTTTTGTGCTGAGTCGATGATGTAGTAGTCTAGCCAAGTGTCAGATCTGGTGGTGTGGTGGGTGGAGGAAAAAGGAACGATGAATAGGTGAAGTGAGAAAAACAGATTTTCTAAATAGGATTTGTCATTGGAGTTTGAGAGGAAATTGGTATTGAGGTCACCGGAGATAATTATTCTGGGATAGAGGGGAACGAAGTTGAATAGAGTTGATTCGAAGGACGGGTCAAATGGCACGAGAGGAGGGCGATATACCACGGCGTAAAGGATAGGAGAAATATTACTGAGAATTTCTACTAAGAGGTATTCTACATGAGGATGATCGGAAGATGGGGAGCAATCGAGGATTCGGGTCTTTAGGCTATTGTGGACAAACATGGCTACTCCACCGCCAGTCCGGTTTACCCGGTCATGACGGAGCAGGATGTAATCAGGCAAGGAGACTGAAGATGATGGAATATAAGATTTGAGCCAGGTTTCGGATATTGCTATGATATGATAAAAGTTTTGGGTAAAGTATTGCAGGAATTCGTCATAATGGGCAGAAAGTGATTGAGAGTTAACTTGACATGTGATTAGGGAACTAGACATACAGTGGATTTGGAGAGAAACAGTCAGTGTTTGGTAGCGAGAAGACAAAACGAGTAGAAAGTACAGAAAAGCGATTATCGTACATGAAACTAAGTGAAGAAAAAGTAATATTAACATTAAAAATAAATAAAGAGAATGTACTTAAAAATAAATAGATTGGTGAGTGACGGTGTAGAGATAGGACTAAGAGAAGAAGTAAGACTATTTTAATGAGGCTAAGGGGTTGACGGCTTCTAGGTAGTCAGTCAAATACATCTAGATCCGAGGCCTGTTCTATCAGGATGACTCTATGTCCGTCCTCTTTTCGACACCGCACCTTTCCGGAAGCAAACCACGACATATTCAAAAAGTT